AAAAGCTAAAGTTATTGTGTGTAAAAATAATGTGTCTCAAGATGGTCTCAAGACCATGTGATACAATGCTGAGAACTGTTGGATAATATTTGTGTATTGTATAAAATAAAATTTAATCATCTATTTTGTCTTTCATTAAATCAAATAAAGTTCATTTAGATGTATAGATATGAGTACCTGTAGATAATCTTTAAAAGAGCAGCACATAAAACAAAGGACATATTGATATCTAATAAAGTGACAGAAGCAGACACGGAAAATAACCATATTGAGACGCACAGTGTTTAGCTAGCCTTTCGTATCCTTATTCAGATAGCGTTCTCCGGTTGACAATGACACAATTCACATAATCCCTAACCTAAATCAGACTCGTGCATATTCTATAAATACCTAATCAGAGAATAAAGCGACTCATCTGTTTACTTCGTACGAATACGAAGTTACTGTGGTTTTCTATGTAAATTTAAATTTATTAATAAGAAAATATACAAATAACACCACAAAAAACGTAACAGGAAAGCAACGCGCCTTCGTATAACCAAATCTCTAATCAACCTCTAATGAAAAATATGAATAAATCTATTTTTTTTAATAAAAAAAAACATATTTTTCTCGAGCGATTTCCTATTTCAGTCTTCTTTTGTTTGGTACATAGACACAAATACCTGCATTTCTTGTACCCACTTTCGTACATGTATAAATCTTCTTAAGTTTAGGTTATCTCATTTTTTTAAAATTAAAAGAAATAATATAACAATATCTATATAAAGCAGAAGCCTGCCAAACTATTCCAACAGTAATGCCATAATTAAGACAGTGAAATTCGCTCATTAACAGAAAAAAGAAAATGATACAAAGGAATAAATATTTTTGTGGTTTGGTTCGTAAAGCTATCTTTAGAACTTAATAAAGATACTAAACTTATGGTGGTCCAGCCATTTATTTTGGGTATAAATTGTGCGAACCGATATCTTAATTATAACTATTTATTTCGGATAACAATGGGTCCATAGTTGGATAGTAACAAATAGATTATGTTAGTCAAAAAGCAATCATCATCATCAGTCTATTAATGTCCTCACTGCTATGGCACAGGCCTGCCTAATGGATGGAATAGGTTGATTAGGCCATAACCCACCACGCGGGCCCAGTGCGGATTGGCGGGTGCCAAAGACTGCGATGCAGCCGGGACCAACGGCTTAACATGCCTTCCGAAGCCAGGAAGAACACGAGATAGAAGATTTTTAGTCACTCATCCAATAACCGACCACTACGAAAGTTGCTTTACTTCAACGATCGCCGCCGAACGCGCTAACCACCCTCACCATCGAGCTCCTCCGAATCCGAATATTGATATCAAGAATACGGAATTTTGCTTATTTAATTTTATTAAACTAGCAAACCAGTGAACCAAATGTTCACCAAATGCTGATTTAAAAAAAAATGTATTTATTTAATTGAGAACTTCGGAGATTTTGTGTGGTTTCGTTTGAAATTCGTGATTTCTCGAAAACCGGAAGTGCTACGTTACTCAAATCCGGTTTGTAGTCTTATCAGACTATTCTTAACTTATAACTTAAATATTCTCTTTATCTATCTCTTACGGTTTGGCCGCTGAAACAGCACCACAGACGGACGGACGGACTTGTCTAATAGATAAGAGATTAACATACCTGTTACCTTTGTAGAAAAGTTCCGGTCTTGCTACAAAAAAAGTTAGTCACTGTTTTAAACTTATGTTTTCCTATATTTTTTTCTATCTCGTGTTTAACGAATGTCTTACTATTTTTGTGGTAATAAGATTCAAGTTTTGTAGGGTTCTACAGAGATTACTATAAATACAATATTATATGTACTTACATGAATGTGTCGCAAAGCCATTATGAGTAAATCGTTGTACATTACGGTAATGTCACGATATTTGCAACCGAATGCCAGGAAAGTTGGTTGACATTCCGGCAAAATATCACTCACCACCGCCAACGCTGTGCACACTAGCGGCAAGACAACAAAAAATATAGACAAATATTGTTTTTTATTTTCATTGTTCTGTAGCAGTTTAGTTAGAGTTTCCTTTCTACCAGCAGTTAAGTTATTCTTCCAAATTACTTACTAATTACTATCTACATCAAGCTTAAATTACATCAACTTTACTGACACTTTTTCAGCTTAAATTTTAGGTTTAAAAATTTTATACTTTTTATTATTTTAAAGCATGTAACTGCTTGATGTTTCAATCTAAAGAAAATATAACTAGAAAAAAAATCCACGCGGACCAGGCAGTAGACGGGACTCGAACCCGCACCCTTCGCAATCCGGGCGAATGCACTGACCAATTATGATGAGGGCCGCGGTAGCATAATTGGTCAGTGCATTCGCCCGGATTGCGAAGGGTGCGGGTTCGAGTCCCGTCTGCTGCCTGGTCCGCGTGGAATTTTTTCTAGTTATATTTTCTTAAGATTTAAAAATTTCATTAATTTTTGGGTCATCACATCATCGTAATCATAAAACTCCATTTGCTAGGAGAATAAGTACTTACCGGTGGGAACATTTCGTATAACGGACATCATTATTACAACCAAAATGAAGTTCATTTACGGTAAAGCTCATTAATACAGTTGAAAAAGTTTTAGGAAAACAAATATCATTATGTAACGAGTTTGAACTTAATGTTTACAAATTAACTGAGTTGTCTTTTTGTTCGTCCTCGTCATATCGTATTTAGTGCTTGGTTTTTCGACAACGAACTTGGACTCCTATGTTGGTTGTTTTTAACCTTGAAAAGTGATGTAATCTGGATAAGTGTATTAACTTGTTATTAAATTTAACCTTATGAGTGTTTTGAAAGTGTGAAAGGCTTCTAATTCTTGATGGGTGGCGCCAATTTGGATGCTTTTTTGATCAGAATCGAGAAAATGAGGTAAATCGTTGAAATTTTAAAATGAACTTATGTCTAGGCGATCGTTGAGATACTTATAAACTATATGAATCATTGGACTATAATAGCTTTTGCTCGCGATTTCATCCGTGTGGACTTAGAGTTTCAGGTAGTAAATTCTTACCAAATCTGCGTTTTCATCAATCTGCTTACTGTTTAAAAAATATAAAGTTGGAGATCTTATATTTAAAAACATAAAAATCTTTAACACTGAAATTCATATTTATAAATGCAGGTGAACAATTAATGTATCATGAATCATCTCTGAAGTCATTTTTCAACTTGACGACTCTGTAAATGATAGAACGGAGAAAAAAACAGCCCTTGCTGAGTTTCTTGCCGGTTCTTCTCAGTACAAGGTCTCCCGCCGTAGATTTACGAACCGATGGCGTAGCTTCTAGACATTCATATGTGCTTGTTAGAGCCTAAACTGAATAAATGATTTTGATTATGATTATAAGCTTCGTTTTGTGTATATCGAAGGTCATTGCAAGATGACAATTTTTGAGTCATTTCGTTGTTAAGTAGGTGTTCCCACGCAAACACATTATTTATCGCATCCGTCCTTATGTGTTAAAACATTATCCTGCTTTGAAATGAAAACAAATGGCTCAGTATTAGTTAGTTTAGTTAGAAGCAGTGTTTTCGATGTTAACGTGGAGCCCCGGCGAGGCCTGGAAGCTGCTGGCAGCGGAGCCGTGGTAGAATCCCTAACGGGGACCCCGCGGCTCCGCACTAAGCAGTGTAGAAGGTATTCGCAGGACTTTTTTAGCGGATATTATGCTGTAAAGCGCCCGTTAGTAAGAGTTGCGGGGTCCTCGGTGGTCAGCCACTGGGGGGTCCGTAAGACTTGCGGGAGCCAGGTGTGAGATCCGTTCGGCGGTGTGCCTCTTAAAAGCGCCGTCGTCTGTAAAAAGATTTTTTACCTGCGTTATAAAAAAAAAGGTAGATTAAATCAAAAATCAGACATAAGAATAACAGCAAGCAGTGTTGGTGCATGTTAATGGTACAGACCTCCGTTGTTTACGTTTTAAAAAGTTCGCTTAATTTGAGTTGCCTGAAAAAGGTGTGAAATTGACCACCCAGGACCTATTGTATTTATTTTTATATGTTTTAAAAATATCATTCATTCTTCTTTTGTTTTTAACAATTTAATTTTTTGAATCTCTTGATCCGTTTAAATTAGAAAAAAAATGGCCTACTTGCGGTAAACTCTCCGTGCTATGATTTTCAATAAAAAAATATATATAAACGAGAAATTAAACAGAATGTCACGAAAACTTACATGCTTGCGTTTTGGGAGTATGTTCTCGACAGTTACTGAGCGCATTTGAGAAAACCTAGTGTCTTAAAGCCAGCTGACTGACAACGTAGAAACTCATAAAAAAAATATTGCCTCGGAAAAAGTTGCAATTGCAAACAAAAAGTTTAAATATAAAATTAAAACATTACCGAAGATTGGATTACAAGCAATTTCCCTAATGGATAACATTCCTTAACCGATGAGCAGTTATCCCGTGACGTGTTGATGCATGCTTATTTTTATCCTGGAAAAGTACGTAGTAGCTAACCCTTTATAATGTATCCTACATCTTCAACCACCCTGAGTGACTTCACCTTAGGCCTCATCTTGCCAGTCTTGAAGTTTATCAACATCAAAATCTTTTAAATAAAAGGACCCTTAATTTAATAATGTAATTACAAAGAAGGGTTTAAAATCAGAAGAAGTTTGGGCGAAGATTTCCATTTAACTTAAAAGAGCGCTTCCTTCATATTATGTACTAGCGGCCCTCCCTCGCTTCGCTTGGGGGTAGAATTGATCAAAATCCTTTCTTAGCGGATGCCTACGTCATAACATCTACCTGCATGCCAAATTTCAGCCCGATCCGTCTAGTGGTTTGGGCTGTGCGTTGATAGATCACTATGTCAGTCAGTCACCTTTGAGTTTTATATATATAGGATAGATTTTATTAATTTCGCGATTTTAAAATATTGCGAATATTTTAAAATCGCTAAATGAATTTGATTTGTTTATATCTAACCAAGCTATTTTGTCATTCAGGCTCCTGAGGCCGGTGTCGGTGGCCGGCGTGATGGAGCACGCGCTGCAGCACCGCGAGCGAGTCGGCGTCAGCGACTTCGTGCTGCTGGAGGACTTCCGCTCTGAGGCGGCCTTCATCGACAATCTGCGAAAGCGGTTCAAGGAAAACATCATATATGTGAGTGACGTCATATTATCATAGGCTCCCGAGGCTGGTGTCGCTGCAGCTCCGCGGGCGCGTCGACGTCAACGACTTCGTGCTGCTGGAGGACTTCCGCTCCGAGGCGGCCTTCATCGACAACCTGCGAAAGCGGTTCAAGGAAAACATCATATATGTGAGTGACGTCATATTAACATAGACTCCCGAGGCTGGTATCGCTGCAGTTCCGCGGGCGCATCTACGTCAGCGACTTCGTACTGCTGGAGGACTTCCGCTCTGAGGCGGCCTTCATCGACAACCTGCGAAAGCGGTTCAAGGAAAACATCATATATGTGAGTGACGTCATATTAACATAGACTCCCGAGGCTGGTATCGCTGCAGTACAGCGAGCGCGTCGGCAGCGAGTTTGCGCTGCTGGAGGACTTCCGCTCTGAGGCGGCCTTTATCGACAATCTGCGAAAGCGGTTCAAGGAAAACATTATATAACATAGACTCCCGAGGCTGCTATCGCTGCAGCACAGCGGGCGCGTCGGCGTCAGCGAATTCGTGCTGCTGCAGGACTTCCGCTCTGAGGCGGCCTTCATCGACAACCTGCGAAAGCGGTTCAAGGAAAACATCATTTATGTAAGTGACGTCATATTAATATATCGGCGTCAGCGACTTCGTGCTGCTGGAAGATTTCCGCTCAGAGGCCGCTTTTATCGAGAACCTGCGCAAGCGGTTCATGTAGAACACCATATATGTGACTGACCTCACAATAACACTGACTCCTGAGGCCGGCATCGCTACAGCACCCCGAGCGCGTCGGCGTCAGTGATTTCGTGCTGCTGGAAGACTTACGCTCCGAGGCGGCCTTCATCGATAACTTGTGCAAGCGATTCAAGGAGAACATCATATAAGTGAGTGACGTCATATTATCATAGACTCCCGAGGCTGGTATCGCTGCAGCACAGCGAGCGCGTCGGCAGCGACTTCGTGCTGCTGGAAGACTTCCGCTCAGAGGCCGCTTTTATCTAGAAACTGCGCAAACGGTTCGTATAGAACATCATATATGTGACTGACGTCACAATAACACTGACTCCCGAGGCCGGTATCACTACAGCACCCCGAGCGCGTCGGCGTCAACGACTTCGTGCTGCTGGAAGACTTACGCTCCGAGGCGGCCTTCATCGATAACCTGTGCAAACGATTCAACGAGAAGATCATACATGTATGTGAGTAATGTCATATTAACACTGACTCCCGATGCCGGTGTCGCTGCAGCTCCGCGGACTCGTCGGTGTCAGCGACTTTGTGCTACTGGAAGACTTACGCTCAGAGGCCGCCTTCATCGACAAGCTGCGCAAGCGCTTCAAAAAGAACATGATATATGTGAGTGACGTCATGATTGACACATACTCCAGATATTGGAGGGCCGGTGCAAGCGGTTCAAGGAAAATCCTACTAATATAAATGTTAAACTATAAATTTAAAAGTTTGTATGTTTGAATGTTTGTTACGTAGTTTATGGATTTGGATGAAATTTGATGCGCATATCCTATCCTGATCCTGTGGGGTTCCCAAAAACTAAAGATAACGCGGATTAGGCCGCTATTATTTAATAAAGACTGGACTGATATAAATTAAATAAATTGAATATTTAATTGAATATAAATTGAATAAATGCTCATGACAAGTAACATTAAAACAACACAAAATAACTGTATTCATAAACAGAGTAATTACTCAATTAATTGTTAATCAATTGGTAAATATTAATGTAGGGAATTATGATCAAAATGTACTCGACTCCTAAATATACCTTTCTTCCCACAGACATACATCGGCAATGTGCTGATCTCAGTGAACCCATACAAGAACCTGCCGATCTACACGGAGGAGAAAACCAAGCAATACTACAAGAAGGCGTTCTTCGAGGCACCGCCGCATGTGTGAGTAAATTGACACTTTCCAACATTTTGATATCAATTAATTGGGTTTAGCGATAGCCTTTAATCAGCGACTAAGTTTATAATGGTAATTTGAGGAGCTCGATGGCGCGGGTGGTTAGCGCGTTCGGCTGCGATCGTTGAAGTTAAGCAACTTTGGCAGTGGTCTGTCATTGGATGGGTGACCAAAAATCTTCTATCTCGAGTTTCTCCGTGCTTCGGAGGGCACGTTGAGCCGTTGGTTCCGGCTGCATCTGCAGTCGTTAGCACCCGCCAATCCGCACTGGGCCCGCGTGGTTGGTCATGGCCCAATCTCCCTATTCCATCCATAGGGAAGGCCTGTGCTCCAGCAGTGGGGGCATTAATTGGCTGATGATGACGAAGTTTATAATGAACGTCAACATTTTGAACCTTTACTAGCAGTTCAGAATATCTTGTGATAAGTAACATATTGGAAAATTGGTGCAGTTTCATAATGATTATTTAAGTGACCTAATATCAGAAAAGTATCGTAAGAAAGTCTATGTGAATTGTATTCGATGCTTAAAGATATATCAAAAGCTTCGGTCGGTGCCTATGAAACACTGACAAAAACTTTATTAACTGAAAGAAAAGCACAAAGAAAAAATTACTGCAGAGCCAAGCGAATAATCTGCTATGCCATATCTCTAGACAAAATAAATGTCAGTTTCCAAAAATCATGTATTGCCTATCTATAACACAATGATAAATAATCTATACTTGGTAATAAAATGATTATGAACACAGAACTCGTTACTATCATACTTATCGATAAGCAACATAATTAACGCATGGACGCATAACTTTATCCTGTTTAAAGAAAAGATATTGATTGGCTACTGGTATCGATGTAAACTTTGAAAGTGCAGCCAAATGGAAAATCCGATAAAAAAAATATGTAAAATATATGTAGGTACGATAAGATTTGTGTAAGAAAGTCAAGTGTGGATTAATAAACTACTGATTCTCATCCTACACCTGCGTGCCTAAGTTTAGGATGACTTTGGTAAGAAAAAACGCTAAAATTAACGATCGAAATTTTTATTACATCTGTAGTAATGAATTAGTGGACTACGTGTAGACGCTAGACGATAGTTTGCCTGGCGATAATTTTACACACTAAACTTGTGTGTGCAGCTGAAGGTGCGTACTCAATTCAAAGTTCCAATGCTTATCTAAGCACATTTTTGTCCCAAAGTCACCCGAAGCTTCGTCACGCAAGTGTGGGATAAGCCCGTATCCCGAGCAAGGTAGAAAAAACAGAGCGCCCCAAGGAACAGATCATACACGCTTTCATTGTATTCATTTCATTCATACGCCAGTTTACATTCAATAGCCGCAAGGTTTCTGGCGTCACCTACCTTCAAAATGCGATTACGTACATATTTTGATCGGTTGTAGAGTTTGATCAATTTTGAAGAAGTTATGAATTGAAAGAAAGGAGAAGTACATTTTAGTGTATTTATTCCCCTGCTATGCAAGACACATCTCCAAGTTCTTACTTGAATTAAAAATCTAATAAGCTTTAGGGTGACTAATGAACATTGAGCTGTGCTGAACTTAGCGGTGCTTGTGTGAAAAACAAAACATAGCCACACAAAGTGTAAAACAATACGTCGTGTATTATTTGTTTCCTCATTATAATCTAGAAGGAAGAGAGAGAGAATTGAATAAATACAGCAAAGCTAGATGTTGATGGAGTACCCTCACGCCAAGATTTTCGTAAAAATCAAACCTACTGTTCTTCCGTCAGTTTGTGAGTAATAAATAAAAAACTTTCCAGATTCGCGATTGCAGACAACGCGTACAGATCGTTGGTGTACGAGCACAGAGAACAATGTATCCTCATTTCAGGTACTTAACATTCAAAGTAAAAAAAACACACTTTAATTGCTCATTTTTACAATCTGTAACCGTGTTGAGACTGCCCCAGTAAGTAAAACAAATCTTGGGTCTGGGGAAAAAAGAAGAATAAAGGACCAGTTAAACTTAATACTGCGGAAATATTTGAGTATTAATTGATTAATTGAGGTCTTCTCATGTTTAAGAAGCTATAAGGTTACTGTTTTTCTGTTTGCAGAAAACTTGTCAGTAGTGTAAATTTAAATTTAATCTAAATACTTTCACACACTTAATGGAATATTTTTACAGGCGAATCTGGTTCTGGAAAAACCGAAGCGTCAAAGAAAGTCCTCGAGTACATTGCTGCCAGGACGGACCACTTACAAAACGTGGAGAATGTCAAAGACAAACTCCTGCAGACAAACCCTTTGCTCGAAGCGTTCGGTAACGCCAAGACCAATAGAAATGACAACTCGAGCCGCTTCGGGAAATACATGGACATCCAGTTCAACTACGAAGGAGGACCGGAAGGAGGTCATATCCTAAATTACCTCCTGGAGAAGTCCAGGGTGGTCAGTCAGATGACTGGAGAGAGAAACTTCCACGTTTTCTACCAACTGCTAGCGGGAGGCGATGACGCGCTCATGAACCAATTGAAGCTACAAGGAAGACCAGAAGCTTACAAGTATACGACTGATGTGGTAAGTGTTTTAAGATACACGTAAGAGGTAACTTGAATCTGTTTCATCCAAATATTTATTCTGCCGGTTAATAAGGAAACATTTTTTTTAATTTCATCGTTGTTTTATGCAACGTGTAAGATAAACCATACTTCTCTAAAAAGTTCAACATCAAAAATTCTCACTTTTAATATAAAGACGTACGATATACAATGAATTGCTTAGGTCACGCCGCATATCTGTGTCAAAGACATGACAATGCCTTCTCATTTTCTTGAAACTTTTAGAAAAATATAGCTATTGCTTGCGACATGTATCTTTGCTGCACAGTTATCTTTACTGTAAAAAATATCTTTATTCCCAGACGACACAATCGAACCAGAGGCACTTAGACGCGGAGCAGTTTCGCGTAGTGAGAGAGGCGATGAAAGTGATAGAGATTGGACAGCAGGAACAACTGGATATGTTCGAGATAGTTGCGAGCGTACTGCACCTCGGCAACGTGAAGTTCGTGCAGAACGACAAGGGGTACGCTGAGATACTCTCGCACGACGCTAACAGTGGAAACGTAGCTGAGGTAAAGTAATCAATATTCAATCAATCAAAAATTGCCCTAGATTTTATATAATGCCGATATTTCACTTGGCTTTCCGCGTTTCCTATTTGTAAGCTTCACATTAAACTGTCCTTTTCATTTTTTATAAAGTATGATAAAGACGGACTTTAGATCTAGTTTACAAACAGCAAATATAGCATAAACTTTAGTTTGAAAATAAAATAAACACACTTGTAGTAGTTGGATTTTATCACGGCCTAATATTAACCCTCGTTAGTTCCCATCCGGAAGTCGTAAATTATCTTGACTTGATACTTCTTGGCCGTGGATTGAGCTCCTCGCAGTATTCCGACAAACATTTTGCAAGGCGATGTCGGTTTATAGAGTACCCTGAATATACCGGATTTTTTAAATTAAGAGTAGGTACCTAGTAAACCCTCACATTACAAATCAAGAACTATATTATCAATTGATGTTTATGTACAATCTATAGTGCTATGGGTGTTTTAATTACATTAGTCGTCGGATTAGCGGGTGCACCGTGGGTGTACTATACATGTATACATAAAGTAGACGACCTCCGTGGTCGAGTGGTTTGTACGCCGGGTTTCATGGTGTCGCCCACTCGAGAGGTCCCGGGTTCGAATACCGTTGGGGGCAGATGTTTGTGTGATGAATACGAGCATTTGTACTCCAGTCATGGATGTTTAACATGTATTTCTGTATAAATATATTATTATATATGGTTAGTATATGTATTCTATCCGTTACCCTAGTAACTCATAACACAAGCCTACAGTGCTTACTATGGGGCTAGGCTAATTGGTGCGAGTGATGGAAATATTTATATTCCCCTATCAATTTATTGCAAGGCGATTTTTGTTTTTTAGCAAAATGATCTCAATTGCTACCCAACTCTGTGCCAATCTTATGTAGAAAAGGAAAATTTTACCCATCTGGCAAAACTGTTAATTCACACCCAAGCCAACTTTATCAATCAGTCGTACTTATTAGTCACTCAGCTTTTTAAAATTAATAATAACACAGTAAAGTCTATTTTCTAAAGAAAATTTTACTAGAAAAAAATTAAACTGTCCAAGCAGCAGACTAGGTTATCTACAATGCGAAAAGATGGAGCTGCTTTGCAGCCTAAGAAATAGTAGAGGTAATTCAACACGGCCATTAAGGTCGCAGTAACATAATTGGTCGGTGCATCCGCCCGGACATCTGAGGATGCGGGTTAGAGTCCGGTCTGCTGCCAGGACCGCCTGGATTTATTTCTAGCAAAATCTTCTTTAGATATAAACATCTAGCAGTTAAATGCTTAAAAATAAAAATATAATAAAGAAGTCTAATGACATTTTCTTCTCATACTCTATCAGTGTTATACTGCCAACCGTAATCATTATTTGTACAATGCAAGTTAGTATCATCCGAGCTTTTTCTTTCTTTTTTTCGGATACTTTTTGAGATATTATCGAGAATATTAGCACAACGTTACGTTAGGTATTAGTAAACCTACGGCGCCGATCGCTCGTGCGGAGTTCCACAAGGAGCGTAACTCGGGCCATTGTTCTATGATGTTTATGTAAATAGATACAGTTACTTCATCTATTATCATATTGTTTGACGTTCGACTAGACTCTAGCTAGACTAGGTAACTATTGTACAGTTTCATGAATAACAAAAAAAAATATTTTTCGTTGAAATGTGATTGCAAAATTGAATGGTTTATCGAAACTATTGTCTTTCTATACCAATTTTAAATAACAGATCCTCATTTTCAGTTAGACTTTGCAGTGAAGATATGCTGATACTGTAATGGGTATTTAATAAATTTAGTTGATTACCACCAGAGACTTGGGTTCTGTATAATTTATTTTATTAACAAAATAACTAGATATTTAAAAATTACTTGCTTAGGTGTTGCTAAAAGTTTTCTAAATACAAAAAACGATTAAGTGCAAGTCGGACTCGTACACAAAGTTAATAAACGTTTGCAATACAGCCAGGTTAATCACATTTGCAAATCACCATCATTTCATGCGTCTAGACTTGTTCTTTTGCTGTTTATTAGGTAGGTATATTTTAAAATTTTAATAGACATTGTTGAAAATTCTAAAAGGACAATATCATGAGAAAAAATATAGTTAAATTTTAAAACGTAGCAGTTTAATGGTTAAAATAAAATTGTAATAACTACTACTAATTAGGTTTATGTACATACCGTCACGGGTCACCTACACTAAAGTCACTTCGAACATCTCTCAGTTTAAAGGAGATGGTTTAAATGTGGTAGACGGTATTCGGCAACGACGAAACATATGTCATTTGAAAACTTGTTTTATATTATAACATGAACAGATACGTTATTTTTTTTAATTACCCTCGAGTAATTTAACGGTGCTTGTAAATTAAAAAAAAATTAAGGGTGCTTGCCACCCTGATAACGTTTATAATTAACGTAATAATTTTTATTGTGTGCAAGCTTATAAAGTCTATTTAATCACTATGGCTTAAATAACTTAATCAATTTCAATAAGTCCAGTCATGCGAGATTCGTGAAATCGTGGTGAACTTATTATATCAATTTATGATTAATTCCTCTTGAAATGAAATACCAACAAAATACCTAATAATGTAATGAAAGATGAATAGAATCATTCACTCACTGCTTTAGTTACCTATTGAATAGAATATATTTGATGCTTTGGCAACAAAAAATAGATAAATAAACTTGTCCTTTGCCAATCGATAATTATAATAATTATTTGAAAATAGTTTTCTACCAAACTTTTAACAAATAAGTGCCCTATGTGTTATAAAAATTTAGAGTATGTCGAAGACTACCACCCTCCATACAAGAAACGTCTCCTTTATCAGCTGCTTATTCTATTATTTCCTTAATTTCCCTAGAATTAGAATCCGTTTTTAAATAAGCGTTTTGACTGTCTGGATCAATAAAAATATTTATAATACCTAACTATATAAAAATATCACACAATCTTACTGGGTTGACATCACCTTACAGATATCGTTATCACTGTACGTGAGTCACGCACGAATTATTTAATACATTATTTTGTTCCACTATTCAATGGAAATGATTACTTCATTAAGCGGTTTTATTTAGTTTGCCCTGTTTGTTTATTTATTTCGTTAAAATTTTGTACTTACTTGTTTTACCCCTTTCCAATTGACCGATTGATGTAATATTTGGTACACACCTTTTTTAATATAGTAACTAGTATGTTTCATGTCACGCACGTTATGTACCATTCCCAATGGGGTGTCTAGGTAGTCTGTTATTTTTATAAGTCTCGGTAGGTAAGGCGGATCACGCTCGATTTTTTGTAATATTAGATACATTTATTTGTGATAGTAACGCTTCTTTAGGGATCTATACTCAAAGTGTGACAACGGAATCCTCCGCTGTCCATCCGTCCGTCCATCCATAGACGCTTATAAATAGTAATAATCAGACAGTTTAATTTGATCTCATTTTAAGTGAACTGTCTCTGTAAGTTATTATAAGAAAATAAATTCTTTAAATAAATTTAAATTAAGACCAAAGTGCCCTTTGGAATTTGGCAAGGCGTTTAATCATTAACAATAGGGGTGATGACGGGGTACAGTAAATGAAATTCTATTTAGTCCGTCAGTTAGATGATCAAAAAATAATGGACACGTATTTTTTCTTTGGGCAATCAACCAAAAAATGACAAAGCTATAGCGCGTCAAAGTTTGGGAGTAGGGGCTCGTGACGTCACTTTTGAGTGAATTTTCACGTATAAGTGTACTCAAACGTGACGTCATGCGACTTTTCAAATCAATATATCTCTGCAATGTCTATATTATGTGAAAAAAGAAAAAATACGTGTACAATACTTTTTGATAATCTACCTGGTAAACGAAGAAAAAAAAATAGTCATCATCCCTATTCATGATACTAGTATATTGGACAATTTCCCGCTCGAATTACAACCTGAAACCTCCACCTTACAGCTAATTATAAAATAACACAACACTTAAGAACTGTATTACCTCTTTCAGCTTGTGAAAGTCAACTCGCTAAAGCTTCGTGAAGCTCTGACTAGTCGAACGATCGACGCCCGAGGAGACGTGGTCAACACCCCATTAGACCAGGAGCAAGCACAATTCGCGAGGGACGCGTTAGCCAAAGCCGTATACGACAAGTTGTTCAGCTGGCTCGTCTCCCGGATCAACTCCTCACTGGCACCCAAAGAGAAAGACTCGAGGTCTTCCGTCATCGGCATCCTGGATATATACGGATTCGAAATCTTCCCAAAGAACAGGTAGGTGAAGCTTGTAATGTAAATAACTTAGCTAATGCCATAATTATGACAAGATGTTTAACAAGTGCGTCTCCCGGATCAACTCCTCACTGGCACCCAAAGAGATACACGCCATGTCTTCCGTCATCGGCATCCTGGATATAGACGGATTCGAAATCTTCCCAAAGAACAGGTAGGTGAAGCTTGTAATGTAAGTAACTTAGCTAATGCCATAATTATGACAAGTTGTTCAACTATCTCGTCTCCCGGATCAAATCCTCATTGGCACCCAAAGAGAGAGACGGCAGTTCTTCCGTCATCGGCATCCTGGATATATACGGATTCGAAATCTTCCCAAAGAACAGGTAGGTGGAGTTTGTAATGTAAGTAACTTAGCTAATGCCATAATTATGACAAGTTGTTCAACTATCTCGTCTCCCGGATCAAATCCTCATTGGCACCCAAAGAGAGAGACGGCAGTTCTTCCGTCATCGGCATCCTGGATATATACGGATTCGAAATCTTCCCAAAGAACAGGTAGGTGGAGTTTGTAATGTAAGTAACTTAGCTAATGCCATAATTATGACAAGTTGTTCAACTACCTCGTCTCTCGGATCAACTCCTCACTTGCACCCAAAGAGAGAGACTCCAGTTCTTCCGTCATCGGCATCCTGGATATATACGGATTCGAGATCTTCCCAAAAGAACAGGTAAGTAGAGCTTATAATGTAGGTAATCTAGCCATATACTATAACAAGTTGTTCAGCTGGCTCATGAATTCCTCGCTCGCACCTAAAGAGAGGTACTCCCAAGTCCTCCATTATCGTTAACCTTGATATTTACTTTTCGAGATTTTCGAATCAAGGAAAAGAAAATTCGAGATCTTCCCAAAGAACACCGTTCGTTGAGAAACGTCTTGTTGATCTCAAATCAGTAAATATTCAGGTTAAAGATAATGGAGGACCTAGAGTACCTCTCTTTAAGTGCGAGCAAGGAATTCGATTCGAGTACCTCTCTTTAAGTGCGAGCAAAGGAAGGAGACAAGTAGTACTTGTTCCATTAAGTCATGGAATGTCTCTTTCTATTGTTATCGCAACGTAAGTAACAACATCAACTTTAGTCTTTAAAAGTTAGTTGAACGCTGAGTTTGGACGTAAGAAGAAGACTTACTCAATTTATGAATGACTATTGGGTACGCTATACTTTGTTTATTTACATTTACTCGTTTACGTTTGTTATAATGAACAATGAGATAATTTATCAAGCCTTGCAAGCTGTTAGTAAATACAAGTTCACGTAATTTTAGAGTTTTATATTTACAATCATGATATAGAAATTTCGGGTATTGTTAAAAATTTTTAGGGTCTAATAATATATATGTTTTGGAGATATATCATTTCTCACACCTTTTTTGTGTCTGAAATGCCTTACGCATCCTTTAATCACCGGGGGAGCGAAAAGCATGTATCTGGGTGTCCTCCCTGCTCATTTCAGCCCGCCCTAGGGCTCGATAAAATGAACAGGGCCTTACCTAACGCCCTAAACAGGGCCAGTAAAAATCAGACAATACTCCTGCACCGATTACCCGGCATACATTCTGAGCACTTCCCCCAATGCATACCGGGAGTGCTGTTGTAGTCGCCGCAACCGTTTCCGACTGTCCGTGCAATCATTTCTCACACCTAAAATATAATTTTGCCAGTTTCGAGCAGTTCTGCATAAACTTCTGCAACGAGAAACTGCAGCAGCTGTTCATCGAGTTGACCCTGAAGCAGGAGCAGGAGGAGTACCTGCGCGAGGGCATCGTGTGGGAGCCCGTCGAGTACTTCAACAACATTATCATCTGCGACCTTATCGAGGCGAGGCATAAAGGTCAATAGTTGCATTCTAATTTCTTTCTTTTGTTTTTATGTTGTAAACAAGCATATGGGCCGCCTAATTGTAACCGGCAACCGTAGCCCATAGACCTTTCCGATACCAAAAATATTAGTGGCACCGTTGACCCAATCCCTTACCCTGTGGAACTCTGGAATCTTACTCACCGACAGAAACACATTACCACCAAAAGGTAGAGTTTACTTCTTATTGGAGGTTACTTCCCAGACGGGCGCTGCAATTCGAGCAGTAAATCCTCTATGCCCCACTTCTCTTTCTGCACAGATTGAGCATTTTTGAATGTAATGATTTACTTTTCGTGTTTTCGAGCACTCTAAGTATATCATTATTTGCGATATTATTGAGGCCAGGCATAAAGGTCAATATTGCTTTTGGATTTCTTCTAGAGATACATGGTGTTTTAGCGAATTTTTTTCATAATATGTAAAGATATTGGAGATCTAATGTGTACATTATACCTGTTCAGGTATAATCGCTATCCTGGACGATGAATGCCTTCGCCCTGGAGACGCCACGGACGCCAGCTTCCTGGAGAAGCTGACGCAGGGTCTGGATGGACATCCTCACTTCAAGTCCCATCGCAAGGCAGACTCTAGGACACAGAAAATCATGGGCCGCGATGTGAGTATCATCATCATCATCAGCCTATTAATGTCCCCACTGCAGAAGTACAGGCCTTTCCTTTAGATGGATTCTTGGATTGGCGGATTGGTGAGTTCTAATGACTGCGGATGCAGACCAACGGCTTAACGTGCCTTCCGAAGCACGGAGCCCGAGATAATAAGTTTTTGGTCGCCCATCCAATTACCGACCATAGCGGTAGTTGCTCAACTTCCGCGGTCCAAACGCGCTATCCTCCTGCGCCATCGAGCTCCTCAACGTCAAACAATTTCTTCAGTTTTTGTTTTATGTTAATGTTTTGATATTCAGGAATTCTGCCTCATTCATTACGCGGGTGAAGTCACATACAACGTGAGCACCTTCCTGGAAAAGAACAACGATCTTCTGTTCCGCGACATCCAAAGCCTCATGGCCACCAGTGGCAATGCCGTCGTCCAAGACTGCTTCAAGGTATTTCATAAATTCTCACTTTAAATTCTAATAATAAAGTAAGGTTAAAGCCTTTTAATCGTTCATTTTTCAATTTATCAATCAATTTTCAAAATATAGGTAACAAGTATTAGACGAAATAACTGAACTTTAATCGATAAGCAACGTCATTATTGCTTAGCTCTTAGTTCCACAGCACTAGCTGTCAAAATGAACTGATAGATGTGAGAGGGGATTCCCCGCGTATGCGCGAACGCGTATCATTCAGTAAATTAGTAAAATTGTGAAGTGAATATGCCTAATTAATAAATTCAATATCTATATTAAAACGAGTTTTATCTTACACTATAATCAGGCTTATGACAAATTGGACTGTAAATAAATACATCACTGGCTGTTGTACTTGAATTACTTTTGGTTTAAATAAAATCAAAGAAATCTGAAGTAATTTTTTAATTTATAAGACGATTAAGAAACGGTAACGAAAACACAAAAAGCGAAAAGCTGGTATCCCGCAGGGAACTGTATTTAGTTCATAATTGTTGATTTCATATATGTACTAAACTTAAATATTATTTGCAAGGATTACAATCTAAGAAGCAAGAAACGACCGGAGACTGCCATTACACAGTTCAAGAACTCACTTAATGAGCTTATCAAAATCCTTAGCAGTAAGGAGCCTTCGTACATCAGGTGTATCAAGCCCAATGACAACAAGGCACCGAGTAAGTTCAATAACATTATAAGATTTTATTTTATCATTCATTATCCACGCATATTGGAGCAATGTTTTTAGTATTTTTTGTTTAAATACAACATATAGGTGCATCATAATATACCAAAACTTTACATTCTTAGCTAGTGACGATTTTAAGATAGACCCCGTAACAAAAATGATGTAAAAATGGCTACTTTGATGGCCCCCCATATCTTTTTTACTTTAAAAATATAAAAAAAAAATATTTATATTCTACTTAACGAGTTCTAGCTAGCGTCACATGTTGGCGTGAAAAAAAAATTTTTTTGTCCACAGCTGCATTGGTTACTCACCTTAACTTTGATATGATTTTTTTAGTTCTAAGGGGGGAGGGCAAGTCTAAATCGTAAGTAGCCCGGCACACAAGATTTTAAAATACATTCCTAAAATACGCGTTACTTAGAATTTTATTAAAACTATAAATGTCCAGGAATTAATAAGGCTACCCTACCTAACTCCCATCCGTTAAGTCCATACCGCGCGATTAGGGACTTTATTCCAAAAACTTTCATATTCTAAGATCTAACAAATGTAAACTCTATAATAAACGTAGCATAATTGGTCAGTGCATTCGCCCGGATTGTGAATGGTGCGGGTTCGAGTCCCGTCTGCTGCCTGGTCCGCGTGGAATTTTTTCTAGTTATATTTTCTTTAGCTCTATAATAAAGTTGAAATAATATATTAATTTATTTGATGTTGATTGTTTGTTAATGTAGTGCAATTCGACGACAAGCTGGTGTCTCACCAGGTGAAGTACCTCGGGCTCATGGAGAACCTGCGCGTGCGTCGCGCTGGCTTCGCCTACAGGCGCACCTACGAGACCTTCCTGGAGAGGTGAAATTATACTTTTTAGAAAAATAATTAATGACCCATATAAAAGAAGAAATTAGTTTTCGTGGTATTGAAGACTCTCACCGCCTTATTAGTAACGTAGACTATAGTTAAATCTGGACTAAAACTAATGCTGTCAATTTTGTTTGCTAAAAAGAAGACAGAGACAACGTAAGGTTTAAACCAAGACTTACTTTAGTCCGCGTTTTGGAATCAGGTGGTAAATGTTGGTCTAGTAACAAAAAGATATGTCACAATCAAATTTTACTTAATTTACAATGGGAATAGGGATAAAGTAAAAAAAGTAAAATCCCGTATTTATTTTTCACATCATAGCCTAATTTAGCTTTTTTTAAGAAACAGACGGTGTTTATCGATAAGTATATGTGAATATTTAATGCGAATCTCTGAAAAAACTTAATTTTAAACATCTTTGAAACAACAAAATCTATTTTGCTCAAATAAAGCCTAGCTTTTAATGCAATTTTAAAATATCCAGATACAAGTGCTTATCGGCTGAGACTTGGCCGAACTACCGCGGTCCTGCACGTGACGGCGTACAGAAACTTGTGGAAACACTCAATTATGAGAGAGAAGACTATCGTATGGGCAAGTAAGTATTATGGTGGATATTTATAAAAAGTAACTATTTATTTTGATGACATACCTCATTATAGAGATCAAATATACTCAGGTATAGGTGGACATTGGTTTTTATAGAGTATCATATAAGCTGAAAATTTTAGAATAAATTATCAATAGTAATAGAAGATCTCTCATAATGAGATTCAAAAAAATATATCACATTGTTAGAAAGAAAACTGCAAATTACTGATGAGAGATCCCCAAATCCTCAATTAAGAAAACCAACAAAAATTTCACAATAATAACAAAACCCGCACGATTTCAGCACGAAAATCTTCATACGCTTCCCGAAAACTCTATTCGAGACAGAAGACGCTTACCAGATAAAGAAGAACGACATAGCCACCATCATACAGAGCAGGTGGAGAGGATATTGGCAGAGGAGGCAGTACCTCAAGATGAAGCAAGCAGCCATTGTGATACAAAAGTGGGTGCGACGGTTCCTGGCGCAGAGACTGAGGCAAAGGAGACGGAAGGCTGCTGACGTCATCAGAGCGTTCATCAAAGGTGATAATTTGTTAATCATTCTAGGAAATAAAACTTCATAATACAGAGCAGATAGCGACATATGTTTTATTGCAATCACTGATAAAGAAGAAAATAAATACGAACTATCAAAATTCGGTGGAAGATGATTTGTGATTACATAATTGTTTAAATCTAAAGAAGATATAACTAGAAAACACGCGGACCAGGCAGCAGACGGGACCGCGTGCCTGGTCCTCGTGAAATGTTTTCTAGTTATATTTTCTTTAAATTTTAACGTCAAGCAGTTACATGCTTAAAAAATAAAAATTATAACTATATAATTGTTTCTTATTATTATTGTCTTTCAATAAATATAAATTTCATTTTTATGATATTTGAAGGCAGACGTTTTCATTTGATACTCATATCATGGAAGTGCTCAAAATATTACTAATATGGCGGATATTGGATTTAGAAAGATGTCAGTTAGCTAACCCTGCATTGTCATCCAAACTAATTATAATATGCAAAATTTGATCTGAACCAGTGGAGAACAACTGCTTTAAAATTGAGTTTCAAGATTTGACTCCAACATTTTTTTGAATATAAATCTAATGTCGCCGATATATCACTCAGGTTTCATCACCCGCAACGGCCCGGAGACGGTGGAGAACCGTCGTTTCCTGGCCATCGCGAAGGTGCACTGGCTCAAGCGTCTCTCGCAGCGTCTGCCGACTGCCATACTGGATCTGTCCTGGCCGCCCTGCCCTGCTACCTGTCAGGAAGCTTCCAGGTAACTTATATAATTAAAATACATAACGATTCAAAACTTCAAAGCGGTTGTGAAGTTACCAATATGACAGCCACGACCAATCCAACTATCCTTTACTTAAATCTTATTCCTACACCCGTCGTTTCCTGAGCATCGCGTCGGTGCACTGGCTCAAGCGACTCTCACAACATCTGCCGACTGCCTTGCTCGATCTGCCCTGCCGGCCTTCAGTAACTTTTTTGCCATTTACAGTGTGTAACTAAAGGGAAACTTGTATATCCATCGATGCTTTACAAAACAAGTATCTTAGTGGCGACAGTGATGTAATAGCCTTTTCTGTGCCCTGTGCGAGTTTCAATAACTAGCCCCAAAGTAAGCACTATAAGGCTTCTGTTATGGGATAGGCTGAGGGATGAGGCTAGGGTAACGGATAGAATACATATACTGTACATATATGAGTATATTTTTATAGAAATACATATCAAACATCCATGACTGGAGTACAAATGCTCGTATTCATCACACAAACATCCGCCCCAACCGGGATTCGAACCCGGGACCTCTCGAGTCGGCGACACCATGAAACCCGGCGTATGAACCATTCGGCCACAGAGGTCATGTGTAGGACTACTTTATTATTTAATTTTTGATGATACTGACATGTAGGTACGTATGTGTTGGAATCGAGCACTAGGGGCGCAGCGGGGACTTATCAGGGGCAAACCGAAAAAAATAATAGTCCTGCCTGCGGTCTGGCCATTTAATTCTTGCGCCCCCCAGAGTCTACGCCCTGTGCCTGGGCACCGGTGGCACCGCCCTATTTATGGCACTGAGTGCGATATAGTAAAACAATAATGGATTATTAAATAGCTCGGTGATTATCATTTCAAAGCAATAGGCCTGCTGGGCGCCCTGCTCTGCTGCCTGCCAGGCAAGGGCGGATCCAGGGGGGGGGGGTTCATGGGGGTCATGACCCCCCCCTGGGCTGGCTAGAGATGGACCAAACCCAGGGGGATTTTATTTAAGTACTTTCAATATTTAATATACCACGACTATATGACCCCTCCCCTGGCGCCAAAGCTGGATCCGCCCTTGCTGCCAGGAAGCTTCTAGGTAACTTACATTTAGGATAAGGGAAATCACCCAATCATTGGCACTTTTCCAATTATTAGCACTTTTGAGTTTAGTTCGAAAAAATAAGGAAACAATTGTTGATTAAAAAAAAAACAATATCGTTTATTCAGTCTAGGCTGTTACGGCAACGATTTAGGCGGCAACAGTCTTGTTGTCGATCGTTCGCGGTACCGGAGCCGCACTGTTGCCGCACCGCGCGTTTTGTATGAAAATAAAGGATCGTCCGTACGCTGTACGACAAACGCACCGCTTCGGCACCGCAGCAGGCCGTCAAGAAACGCATAAATTGAAAGAGCTCTAAGATTTTTATTTGGCAATCACTCCCAGCAATCTGTAAAACGTCAAAGTTTTGTATTGATATGATACGCATTTGTTTGTTGTTGTGATTTCTTGCGGTTTTTTGTATTTAATCATGTCTAAAAGGGGTAAAACCTTACAAATACGGTAGAAAAGCACTACAGCGCCCTCCAATCTAAATTCCACTCTCTTTCCGCACAGACTCTAACTCATGAAGTCACTTTCCATAGATAGTAAATAAGGTCCGTTTCGCAGGGAGTTGCAGCGGTTGCACCGCGCGCACTTGTCGCGCAAGTACCGCCTGGCGCTGTCGCCCGCAGACAAGAAGCAGTTCGAGCTCAAGGTCTTGGCCGAGAAGATGTTCAAGGGTTAGAGAGACTTGTTGATTTCCTAGATAGAGGCAGGGAAAATACACAGAAACTTACTTCATCATCGTCATCAGCCTATTAATGTCCCCACTGCTGGGGCACAGGCCTTCCCTATGGATGGAATAGGGAGATTGGAGATGACCCACCACGCGGGCCCAGTGCGGATTGGTGGGTGCTAACGACTGCAGATGCAACCGGGACCAACGGCTTAACGTACCTTCCGAAGCACGGAGGAGCTCGAGATAGTAAATTTTTGGTCAGCCATCCAATGACCGACCACTGCGAAAGTTGCTTAACTTCAACGACCGCAGCCGAACGCGCCAACCACTTGCGCCATCGAGCTCACCATATGCTACGGGGACAGGAAACTTACTCACCGATTGGTACGACACAACACCACTGAAAGGTAGTGTTAGTTCAGTATGATCTTGTGTACAGTGAAGATCGTTTCTCAATAGGGTATTTGTCGCTATTTGAGAAAAAATCTATAAATTTATTATTGCGACAACTAAGGCAAAAAGGAGTCGGAAAACGTTAGTTCAGTTCATAAAATAAGAAAACGCATTCTAAAATTTCAATTCAAAGTTTTCTGTTTTATTATCTGTTTTTAAATACGATGAAATAGTAGACGTAATTTGACATTATTTCCTCATTCCGTTCTGGTTATGCTTAAGTGTCAGCTGTCAACTCTGTACCTTAATGTTTTCGTAACCAAGGTAACGCATTTATTTACAGTGCTAATGACGTCAAGCAACGCAGATCAAGATGGCATCTACTGCGTCCAGCGTAAAGCGAAATTACGCTGTCATATTGATCTGCGGTCTGGAAGTCATTAGTTCTGCAAATAAATGCGTGCGAAATTAAATTTAAATGCTTTTTTAAGGTACTTAACGATAAAGAAAAAGGTTTCTTTTTTTTTAATTGCAACATTCTTCAAAAATAGATGTAATCAATCCTATTCAACGGGTTAATCCTCCATGCCCTACCTCTCTCAAAACAATAAAAAATCGTGTGAAAGCACAATAAATAAAATACCGTGGTAATTCCATTGTTATAGACAAGAAGAACAGCTACCCGAGCAGCATCCGCGAGCGGTTCCAGTCGGATCGACTACGCACCGACCACCAAGCGCTGCGCAACTCCTTCATGGCGTCCCCGTCCTGGCCTACCGGGGAACAACTCATCGTCAGTATCATTATACTACGACCATTTATTATTATTTGCCGACCTCCGTAACTCGAGTAGTATGTACGCCGGTTTTCAGGGTGTCGCCTACTCAGAGGCCCCGGGTTCGAATCCCGGTATGGCAAATGTTTGTGTGATGAATACGAGCATTTTTACCTAAGTCATGGATGTTTATTGTGTATATTTCTAAATAAAAATGTACTTATATATGTATCCGTATACGTATTCTATCCGTTACCCTAGTATCCCATAACACAAGCCTTTCTCTGCTTAGGTTGGGGCTAGGCTAATTGGTGTGAGGTTATGTTTTTATTTATTTTTAAGCCTTTAACTGCTAGATGTTTAAATCTAAAGAAAAGTTTACTAGAAAAAAATCCACGCGGACCAGGCAGCGGACGGGACTCGAACCCGCACCCTTCGCAATCCGGGCGAATGCACTGACCATTATGCTACCACGGCCCTATTGGCCACGTCGAATTTTTCCTAGCTTTAAGCTGCAAGGCAGCGCCATCTCTTCGCATTGTAGGTAACCCACAATGTCAAATGAATACTTTTTCAAGTATTAAACATTTGAAAGAAGAAATAGCAATTATAGTTATGTTTTTATTTATTTTTAAGCATTTAACTGCTGGATGTTTAAATCCAAATGGTGTGAGGTTTGCAAAATAAAAAAAATAAAATGCAATTCTTATGTACATTCCAGTACTCCTGTGAATCGACCAAGTACGACAGGCGCGGCTACAAGGCTCGGGAACGGTCCCTGCTCGCCTCGGATAAGGCCCTGTATGTGCTCGATGCGACCGGACGCAAGACTTACCGCCTGAAACATCGCCTGCCATTGGACAAACTGAGAGTAGTATTGACCAATGAGTCGGACAGCGTGATCCTCGTCAAGATACCGCCGGAACTTAAGAAGGACAAGGTACGACCATACCCTACTATCTACTACCTTCTATTTTAGACAATAGGAAGCATAACTTATCGCCTCAACATAGCCTGTCATTGGACAAACTGAGGGTAGTTTTGACCAACGAATCCGAAAGCCTGATCCTCGTCAGGATACCACAGGAACTCAAGAATGATAAGGTAAGAGACTATACAATGCACTGACTCCACTACCTTCCAGTCTAGCTAGACAATAGGTACTAGATACAAGCCTTATAGCCTCAACATTGCCTGTCATTGGACAATCTGAGAGTAGTATTGACCAACGAGTCGGACGGCCTGATCCTCGTCAAGATACCGCAGGAACTTAAGAAGGATAAGGTACGACCATATACTGACCCTACTTCCTTCTATTTTAGACAATAGGAAGCATAACTTATCGCCTCAACATAGCCTGTCATTGGACAAATTGAGGGTAGTTTTGACCAACAAATCCGAAAGCCTAATCCTCATCAGGATACCACAGGAACTCAAGAATGATAAGGTAAGAGACTATACAAGGCACTGACCCCACTATCTTCTAGTCTAGCTAGACAATAGGTACTACATGCTAGACTTATCGCCTCAACATAGCCTGTCATTGGACAAACTGAGCGTACTGTTGACCAACGAGTCCGATGGCCTGATCCTCGTTAAGATACCGCAGAAACTGAAGAAGGACAAGGTATGACTGTTTATAAACCTTAAGAAAATTTTAATAGAAAAATGTCCACTCGGTCCAAGCATGAGACAGGAAGGACTAACCTTCTAGACCGACCGATCCGCCAAGACCGCTCTTAAGCATTGCCTACCATTTGACAAACTGATGGCACAATTACTCTCTTCTACTTCACAGCGCACTTTGCGATCTTCTTCTAACCTATCTCTTGAAATTCCAACTCTGCCAGAAACTATTCGAAGGGCTCGCACTCTGAACTCGTTCAGGGATCAAGTTTGGAGTTATTTAAAATTTCCTTCATCCTCTCTCTTTCCTTCCTTAGATATATCTGTTTTCCTGCCATTGATATTATTATTATTTTCTATAACACCCCTCCTTTTCTCCTTCATATTTATTTATCTTTCTATTATGGGTTGCCTGGAAGAGATTGCTGCCTAGCAATAAGGCCGCCTATATTGTGAACGTTCTATCTATCATGTTTTTAATTAACTTGTGTTTTCTTGTATGGTGTATTTACAATAAAGAATATTATTATTAATTACATTTGGTCGGTAGCCGGTATTCGGGTGCACAAAAGACATTATTCGAATTCGGGCACCCGAAGCAATATTTACACTATTTACGGGCTGGAAGAAGATGTCGGGTAAACAAAAGGAAATCTACCCGAATACCGGCGTACTCGACTCAGTTCATTTACACTAGGTCGTTTACCCGAATTCCATTGGCACTCGTGTTCGGGCTAACGTCCAAGTGTAATCTCGCCTTCAGGGTGGTGCTAATTAACGAGTTCAGAAATCAGAAACCAGATTTTTTATTGCATTTCATGTGGTAAATAAGGTCTAACATTATTATAGGGTGCAACGGCTTGATCTACGTCAAGATACCATAAGGTATTGCGAGTCCTGAGTTCAAAAATGTGAATGTTTTCTCATCGTCAATCCTGCGGAATCGTTATCATCTTGATCTGTTTAGTTGCGAAAAATGATGTAAAAATACAACAATCTTATCTAGATATAATTTTTATATTTTAAGCATGTCACTACCCGATGTTTAAATCTAAAGAAAATATTACTAGAAAAAAATCCCAGTCCAGGTAGCAGACGACATTCGAACCCGAAGCCTTTGCTATCCGAGGGAATGGACTGACCATTATGCTACCGCGGCCCTGACGGCCGTATTGAATTCTTTCTTCATGCTGAATTCATGCGGGTGCAGTAGAATTATTGGTTTCCCAAATAAACTTTCGTCCCCTATTTCACTACATTCAAAATGTAGCCCTTAACCTTCTCAAGGGTCCCATCTATCTCTATATCAAAATTCATTATCTTCAGTTGAAGATTAGGTGAAAGCATAACAAACAGAGTTATTTTCGCATTTATAATATAACACTTGTTACGATTTACAAGTATATTTCAATAGTTATTCTGATTTAGGGCGACCTGATCATCACCGTGTCGCACGTGATCGAGGCGCTCACCATAGTCACCGACTACACCAAGAAGCCCGAGATGATCGAGATCGTGGACACCAAGTCGTGAGTCATCTTTATAGGATTTTCTGGATTACTTAATTATAATGTTGTTCAAAATTACAACCTACTACGAATTTATTTATATATTAAGTGAAAAATTTTAATAATTCATAAGAAGCGTAAAATAATAGCGTCTATTGGGGGACAGTGTAACAAAGGGCAGTGTAACATAAGGATAATTTTTTCTATGGTCGCCATCTAATGCAACTAATATCAGACAGAGATATTCCTCAAGTTACACTGTGTTGCTTGTTACACCGTCCCCCACTTAGTCTAGTTAAAAATGAAAGCACTTTTGACCCTTTTTGTCAACCGAGGAAATAGGAGTAAGTTAGGAATTTTATATCTATCAGGCCATATATTATGGTAACACGCCTGATGTTCAACTGGTTAGTAGGCAGTATTTATCGTGTCAGGCCACCATCTCTCCACCTAGATAGTAGCTTAGATTAAAACAAAAAGGGTAGATACGGTACGCTCATACTTGCATCAAACAAAAACTGGGGGCCAATCGCCTAACTGGATTGCTTTGGAAAACGCTATCGCTTACGATTTCATTTTGTTATTTCTAGCCCCCTGAGGTTTTCAAATGCCTCGCGCTCTTTTTTTTTCTTTTGCATTGGTAATAACAATGTTAAAGAAAATGAGCGTGAGGTATTTCGGCGGTTAGAAATAACAAAATGAAATCGTAAGCGATAGCGTTTTCCAAAGCAATCTGGTTAGGCGATTGGCCCACTGATCCCACGGCAGCGCGAACGAAACGGCGAGATCCGCGTCACTGCATTACCGACCCGAACGAAACAGCACGTTAAGTTTCAACGGCAGCGCGAATGAGATGGCTCTGCACTACCGACCTATCACGCGATCAGTACTCGACGTCACTACCGTATAAGATTCAAAACAAACAACAATTTTTATGAAAAAATATATTTTATAGTACTTATGAATGAAAAGTGATGCTGTGCGTTTTATTTTTAGTTCTTGAGCAATTTGAGCATTTTTTAAAAACACACTTAGGCATTGTTTTGTCATATAAACACAAAATATTAGCAATATTTCTTTTTAGCGTTCACATGTACGTCGTTTGCATGTCAAGTTGTGACTAAAGCGATTAGGGTCTTGGACCACAATTGGTGCGGATCACTTTTGTGAGGCTAGTGCCGTATCTACCCTTTTTGTTTTAATCTAAGGATAGTAGTTAATAAATTTTCCTAATAACCACGTGAGGATTTTCTAGAATTAATGTCGCCAGGCGGCATCACTGACACGAAAGATCTACTCATCCGTCAAATCACCTATGTCGTCATATGCTCGTTCGATTAATTTGGGCCAAAAACTTCATACAATAGACCTCGTGTCACAGTGGCGCTTATCGGTGGCGTTAATTTTCAATACCCTCAATGAGGGTAGCGATAAAATGATAAATAATGTGGTTATGCTTGCAGCATCACGCACGACCTGGTGAACGGCAAGCAAGGCGGCATCATCGAGGTGACGCACGGCCCCCAGCCCGCAATACACCGCGCCAAGAGCGGCAACCTGCTCGTGGTACGTATACATAACATAAACATATATCGTATACATTAACCTGAACAAACAAAACACTACAAACATCTACCCCCTTATTAATAAATCGCCCCCTGAAACACCTTGCTGCGCCCTGAAACAGCCATTTTTAAAACCTAGCAGCAATGAGCACAGAATAAGCTTGAATTAGTTAATCTATGTTTTGTCTCTGTTCGTTGAATGACAAATGGCATTTGAGTGACAAGAACAATACATGGCATAACTAGTCTAAGCTTATTCCTTGCCTAATAATAAGGGAGATTAAGTCCATACACAGTACATAGACAACAGACGAGAAGTGTGACACGAAAGGAACGGGCGCGGGCCCGTGTAGTGCGCATTTTGTACATTTACCGGCGCGCATCGGATCGCAGCGCAGCGCATTTTATAATTTGCTAAAGGCAATTGAAGCATCCACAAAGTAATTAAGTTCCTTATTTACATGCAATTCAAGCAGCTATGTCGCAGAGTCCATCGCAGCCGGTCGGCTTTAGCTTACTACTTTGTGGATGTTTTAATTTCCTTCAGCAAATTGTAAAATGGTTGTTTTATTCTTTATGTATAAAGAATTGTATGTAACTCGGATTGCACATGTTCCTACTAAGCTTCGTCTCTTTTTTCAGGTTGCTGCGCCGTGAAACAGCCATTTTTAAAACCTAGCAGCAACGAGCACAACGAAATTACTTTTGCAGTCATATTCGTAAGACTTTTTGTATTCGCCTTATAAATCGTCCGCCATATTGCGGGAAAAACGTTAAACTATTTTTTTAACTGCCATAGCTATTCATTATATACAGCTATTTATTTGATAACTGATTTAGTCTTGTATTGTATAAAAATATATATTTTTATAACTATGATTTATTACGTTTTTTAGGTTTTTAAGTACCTCCCCATCATAAATTATGGATTATTGTTTATCATAAATGTGATATAATTATAATATTATCGACGAGTTACGTACAAAGTACTTATTGAACAGTGTTTTTATTTTGTATGCCATAATTCTAGTAATTGTTACGTCAAGAAATAGGTATAATTAATAACAAATATATGTATAATAAAAATAATGTACGATTTCTTAAGAGCGTTGTTTGAATTTGTATTTATTCATGTTGTTTTTGCTACTTGCAAAGCGCAGGCCACATTTGAACGATTGTAGTGAGGTTGTACTCCTACTAGTGGGAACGAGTAAACTAGAAATTCAATCCGAATTTCGGTTTTCTCTTTTTATGTGTTGCTTCGTTCCGAAATGTGGCCTGTGCTTAAAATATAATTTATAGGCTGAATCAAAGGTGCGTAATGTTATAAAGAGTAGTTTGTTTCGGCGAATTAATGTTATGTTTATATGTATTAATACGGGAAACTTTGTTGCACATGAACAGCATTCATGACTTTTAAAGTTACGTTATTGATTCAGCGGGCGCAATTCCATTGTGAATCATGAGATGTTTGTATCATTTGTATGCAACTACTGCAGTACGAAAATCATTTACCATTAAAACAATTTTGAGAATAAAATGACTTTTTATAAAATATTCGCTGTCATTGTAGATACATTTGTGCCAGAAGTCAATTAGGCCATAATTTATACGTTAATTATGCAGGCGAGTCAGTGCCTTATTTTTAAGCAGGTTCCTGTAAAGACATTTTAATGAAATATAAAATTTTTTGATATACCTACATAAAATTACTTTTACTTCCCCCACTCCCCCAAGAAATAGAAACTATCGGCATGATTAACAATAATAAGACAAAAATATAATTCATTATAGTTTAATTATTTTTAAAAAATTAGGTACATTTTTACAATTGTATTTTGTGATAATAACAATCCAGAGTTGCCGTGACAGACAATCATCACTTTCAGTCTTAATATACAAACAAGGTCTCGGTCTCTCGCAACCGTGTTTACACCACACAATTTCATAAAAATAATTATCTAGATTTCATTCAATATTCGCACTAATATTTGGTCTAAGTGACTGATACATACAGCTAGTTTCTAGCTCAAGTATTGGTTTAATAATCGCGGAATTTACTAGAAAATTTTTTACATTCATTGGTTTTTTTTATTATTATTAACATGCCAAGTATAAAGCACATTGGGACCGACTATAGGCACTTGAAATCTAATATTAACATGATATACTCGATATTTACAAGTCGTATATACACATCCCTTAGCAAAATATATTGGAAGCTGACAGGTGTAATAGGTACTTTGATTGATAATCTGAACACGGAACAAGTTGCGAGACCGCTCCATCGATCGATCCATCGAACCCACACCCATACAATAAACATTATATTTGGCTACGATTACTGAGATTGTCTCAGAACTCCGGATTATTTCTAGGGGCAACATCGCTTCTTAAAACTATATAATACAAAAGGCGTAGTCTACTTTCAGCCATGGTGCCAATGGTCTTTTAATACATATAACGGCATCAAAGACGATCGTTAGTCACTAAATACTATCGCGAACGATAAAGACTCAAAACATGATTTGTACCCCAAGCACGAACAACTAGCGACAAAGTATTCGAATCGCCATCGTTAAAGTTTACATGGAGAGAATTAGTTTGTTCTTACGTCCGGTAGGGGCGCTGCTTAGTATCCACAGCAACATTGACATGGCAAAACGAATACTTTCTCAAATTAACAACAGCATTGACATGGAAAAACGAATACTTTCTAGCATTAACAACAGCATTGACATGGCAAAACGAATACTTTCTAGCATTAACAACAGCATTGACATGGCAAAACGAATACTTTCTAGCATTAACAACAGCATTGACATGGAAAAACGAATACTTTCTCAAATTAACAACAGCATTGACATGGCAAAACGAATACTTTCTCAAATTAACAACAGCATTGACATGGAAAAACGAATACTTTCTAGCATTAACAACAGCATTGACATGGCAAAACGAATACTTTCTCGCTATTTGTTCGTGATTGGGGTACCGATCGTGTTCCCTGGGTCCTGTAACATGGTGGCGTTCAACAACAGCTTAGAAATCAATGACATTCACACTGTTATCATAAATATTTACACATTTGCATCACTTACTTCATGGAAGATTTAGGTAAGCACTGAACAAGGGATTCGCAAGATTAATAGTTAAAAAATATAAAAGTTCCCATTCAACATACTTTTAATTAAAAGTAAATAGTAATTATTGCGCTGTGCCGCCATCAGCAGACCTTGAACTGACTATATACAACCAAACAACATCTCACACATTTTTCCCAGACAAGTGGTTTTTATTACAAAATTATTCAAAGTGCGATAAGACTTTTCAAGAACAGCCCTCCCATTCATAAGTTATCGGACACTTCTAATCCGATTTCTGTTTTTGGTGCTGTCATTCGTTTGGAAAACGACAAAGACAAAAGTGAATGAGAAGACTAACCTTCTGGTAACGGCACATTCATAACACATGCCTAATTTAAACATTTCTGAAATAATTAACATGATGATAATATATTACTTATCGTACGTACATACAGAAACTTAAAACACTCGATGCACCGTCGGCATAGCATACCCTTCACATAAATATACATACAAATTACATAAATAAATGCCAACTATACGGAGCGTGGGAGGCGCCGTCGAATTTTATATAAAAACTACAGTATTTACAATTTTCTTCAATCCCACGCGTACATTTGTTTAAATATAGAAAGGACGTTTAGAGACTAGCTTACTATCAATATTGGAGCATCATCTTATATGGTGAATGTCTTCATAGTCTAAACGTAAATGCACGCGAGGCTTGCAAGTGATCAAAATAGTACCTTTTTCAAAATTAGGAATTCTCATGTAATGCAATGTAAAATGGGACCCTAAGCCGCTTTAATTCGTTATTTCATCACAGATACGAAATTATAGAATACGATTTTGTCAACACAAATATGCACAATTACATAAAAAAACATCAACAACCGTTAAAAATGATCTGCCCTCTTTGAATGACTTTAAGAATGCTTTAATCTTAATTATTTATAATAAATACTATTTTGCAGTAATTATTTCAGTTTTTTTTTATAGATAGGTCCGACAAATGACTCCACCCCACCTGATGTTAAGTGAAGGTGAAGTCCAGATGCGAAGATAGCTGATACAGCAGTTCTACCTGCCACACCAGCCATCCTCACCTTGCCGGCCTGCATGTTGCTTCTTCACGCCTCTTAAAAGATCCCAGATTGTAAGAATGAGGGAACACTTTCAGTTTATGCGAAATACTTGTAAACTTTTAAGATATTGCTTACAAAGTTATGTAAAAAATTACAAATGGGATATACATTACTAATGGGATCGCTCATTTTTTTTAAACTAAGTATGATGAAACGTGCTTAACATTAAATGATAATATTACTGTTCTCAAAGTCGATTTACAAGTACATGTTGTATTGACGAACTCGCTTCATTTGTATATTATTGCAAATTAGAATTTACAAAAATTTATACAATACCCACAGTTGCATTACATTATTGCCGATCATTTTGTACTTTAGCCTAAATCACATCCACACTATGAAATGCCCATTTTAACAAACAAGAAACCGCCATTTTTAGAGTCCCTACTAAAATGGAAACTTCAGTGCTTATAAAATTTACAAATCAATCTAGTAGAGAATGCCAAAAATCTTGAAAGAATAACAAAAAACAACAACAAATCTTTGTAATCTATAATATGACGAAGTAAAAAAAAAATATACAAACTTGATAGTTCCAATAAATAATTATTTAAAACCTGTCTTTTATAATATCTCAGTAGTCCTCACTATTAACCTAATCTTCTATTTCCTGTTTATAATAAACATATTGGTCGCTACTTCTTGCAGTCATTTGCATCGATTAAAAATATAAATACGGTTGTTAGTGACTTAAGATGTTTAATTTAAATACACAATAGGTGTTAAAAGCCTTTATTTCATTAATTATTAAAAAAAACATAGCGGCGGTTTCCAGTTTGTGACATGCAGATTATGGGCCATAGTCTACGGCATCAAGTAATATGCCGTCCGTGTATCCAGTTTCCATTAAATCAATTTTAAAACAATAACTAACTTGTTCTTATTGCGATAGAAATTTATTACTTAAGAATATTTACAAGATTCGTTCATAATTCAACCATCACTGTGCCCTTTAGTATGACCATTACTACACGTCGTGATAAAGTATCGATGCAAAAAGTATCAATAAAACTCGATATCACTTTTCATGTTGAAGTGGTCACACTAAGGTGACTGGTGCACTTAGGCCCGTATTACAGAATGACTACTAAGTGTTGATCTTTACTTGAGTACAGTTAGAAAGGGATGTCGCTATGTGCTATATATAGCGACATCCCTTTCTAACTATGCTCAAGCCTAGATCAATCGCTGAGAATCTTTCTATAATACGGGACTTAGACGTTACGCTAGACGCTCACTCAATACTTTGGTTAACAATAGGTTGTTTGACCCAAACAAAAAATGCACAAGATTAATTTCAATGCCTCATCAAAGTTAAATTTAGATAAAGGCATTCAGTTACCGAAGAAAATGAAGGTTCAGTAAATGATGATCCTGTATGCCGTGAAAAGTTTGCATTGCTCGTTTCAATCCACTGAGTCCTTTCCACCCACGTAATAAAATATTCCAGGCTTCTCATACCGACTAGTTAATACCAAAGAAAAATCAATAGTTAACAAATAACAGATATGAAACATTAAATAAGTATTAAGACAGAAATGTCAGTCGTATTACATTACCATCGCAAAACCAAATTGCCCACCCAAGATTGGTCTATTAAGCTATCTAAGCCCCGTATTATAGAAAGGTTCTCAGTACTTAATGTAGTCTTGAGCATAGATAGAGAGGGATGTCGCTATATATATCACATAGCGACATCCATTTCTAACTGTACTCAAGTAAAGATCAACACTTAGTTGTCATTCTGTAATACGGGCCTGAGACTTGTAATTATTGGTCTCCCAGAATTCTAGAACACAAGGCAAGCTAGTGTTGACCCAATCGCTCATCACAATTAAAATTATGTGCGTTAATATCGCGTCTATACTATTAGGCCTGTCGAACCAGTAATCCTTGTTGATGATAACTGCTGCTGTTGCTCTACATACTGTTTGTTCAGTTATAACGAAACGTTTGGCCGCATCACTTTGGTCGTCGGTTACTGTTTAATATTGTGGTAGAACTCATCTTAAGGTAGAGCGAGTCCTTTATGCACGCAGCTTCTAGCGGCGCACTAATATTGTCCATGATCTCCAGTGTACTATGATCTTGGGAGATATTCTTGTCACATGACATCGAATTACTCTTCGTCTCGAGCTAGTTCGAGCAACAGCAAGTCCTCTTCACACTCCTTCCACAGTAATAGATCGTTATTTTACTTTAGCCGGTGGATGGTGAGGATGGTTTAGTTCTGGTTTGGTTTTAGAGGGTAGTCAGTCGCCACAATCCACCATTGGAAGATATTTACGCTTGCCGTTCAAGCTAGTATGGCGAATGCACTTTAAACTTCAGCTAGTTTTAATAGTAGATCGTTACTTGACCTGCGGCGCGGCATCAGGCGGCGGATGGTGCGGATGGTTTAGTTAAGGTTTGGGGCCGTCGAAGACTTCCATATTTGATAGCCACACTTACCATTCCAACTAATATGGCAAGTCTTTATCTAGACTAATAGATCGTTACTTGACCTGCGGCGCGACATCGGGCGGTGGATTGTGCGAATGGTTTAGTTCAGGTTTGGGACAGTCGTAGAGCTCGTCGTTATTGGGGCGACGCTCGTGTTCTTGCTGTCATAATCTTCCATTTTGGATAGCCACAATAGCCATTCGATCTAATATGGCGAGTCTTCGTCTAGAGTCTAGACCACCGCAGGTCAAGTAACGATCTATTCATCTAGATCCTAGATTAATAGATCGTTAAGTGACCTGCGGCGCGGCATCGGTTTAGGACAGTCGTAGAGCTCGTCGTTCGAGCTTTCGTAGAGGTAGCAGTAATCTTCCACATTTGGAAAATATTCACGCTTGCCTTCCATCTAGTATGGTGAATCTTCTTTAAACTTCAGCTAGAGTAATCATTTAGACTTCTATGGTTAGTAGATCGTTACTTGACCTGCGGCGCGGCATCGGGCGGCGGATTGTGCGGATGGTTTAGTTCGGGTTTGGGACAATCGTAGAGCTCGTCGTTGTTGGGGCGACGCTCGTGTTCTCGTTGCTGCCGTCGACGCTGTTTAGACCATAGCTCGTGGCAGTCTTGCCATGTGGGTAGTTGGGGCGCTGTCATCCTGTAGGACACAAAACATTTATATATAACACAATCGCTTGACCTTAACCACACATAAAGAATTAAGAATATTATTCCCTGTCCAACTGTAAGAAAGTCTGGGCAGCAAAATGTCAAAGAGACGAAGCGGTCAGAAACCAACAGGTACTGATTTGACGACCTCCTTGGTGGTGTGTTCACTGGTTTACAATACGTCGCCTACTCTCAGACCTGATAGATAGCTCTCTGTGTGCTATTTTATATGAAAAAGTATCTCAAAGATCATACTCTCACAGTTAAGAGCGGACGCGAGGTGAGACATTTGAGAAATGGCTAGACAGAATACTCACTGATCAGATACTACATTCTTGAGCCAGGGACTCTTCAAGGCGTCTTCAGCAGTGATCCTCTGAGTGTGGTAGGCATAAAATAAAGGCGAATTGTTGTCGCAAACATCTCTTATGGAAGAGATCATACTGTGTATTTACATACGTGGTATAATAATAAATTTACTCACTCTTCAGGCGCCACATTCATTAATCTTCAGCAGTGAATTTCTCGCGAGGCAGTGAACTGCTAGCAAATACCTTGTGGAGGAGAGATCATTGTTTAAGCATCTAGACTGATAAAATATATCTACTCACTGATCAGGCACCACATTCTTTAGCCATGGACTCTTCAGGGCATCTTCCGCAGTGATCCTCTTATCAGGGTCCAACTCCAGCATACGGTCCAGTAATGTTAAAGCGGTGGCAGGCATAAAGGCGAATTGTTCCCGAACGCATCGTTTATGGAACCGTTTGGGCCGTAACGCGCCCCATAAAGGCAAGTTTACTACGTTCGGCCATACACCGGGAGCTGGAGTGCCGCATACTCTCGATATCATCTCTAGCTGCATCATTTCCACGTTCGCCTGAGACAAATATTATGAAAAATGTTACATTCAAATTTAAAAAAACCCCAGACCTTAAAATAATCGTAAAAGTGGAAAATAAAATGTGTTGGCCCCTTAACTTTATTATAACTACTTAATAACAGGCTCAACTTACACCGGCGCAGAGTCGAAGCGACGCGTCGCGTCATGTTTTTCGCCTTAGGAATACCTTTATAGTGGTAAATTGAGGTGAATTTGCTACAGATGAACATGTAACTTGGTATTAAGGAGCGGCGCGACGACTCGCATCGTATAAGTAAAAATACCTTAATAGTGGGAAAATAGAGATGAATTTGCTACATGCGAAACGCGTCGCGTAGCTTCGTCTCTGCGCCAATGTGGCCAGTGAGCCATAGTTAGAACACCTCGGTGCTTTGGAAGGTACGTTAGGCCATCGGTTACGGCTGCATATGCTGTCGTCAGCAGCCACTAGTACCGCGTGGTGGGTCACGGCCCAATCTCCCTATTCAATCCATAGGGAAGGCCTGTGCTCCTGCAGTTGGGGCATTAATAGACTGATGATGATGATGATACTGTAGGAAGGCCAAAGGAGAAGATCGCCCTAGGAGCTGGGTGACGGTAGCTCGGGGGCCGCGACCCGACTGATATTGGTCGGGCATCGTATATATGGAGTTTTAGGCTCCGAATTTCTCTTGCGCGTTGTAGGCTTCCATACGTTGTGAACGCAGCGCCGGTAGCGCCATCTCTTAAGGAGGCGAGTGACTATTTCCTCCATGTTAGTTATATGTGGGGCATATAGATGTCGCCGCCACAAAACCATCTATCTTAAAGTTATAGTATGTACCTGGAACAGCGGATGTTTGAGGAACAGCTCGCCCAGGATGCAGCCCATGGACCACACGTCGACGGCGGGCCCGTATCGTTCCTCCCCTAGCAATAGTTCGGGGGGCCGGTACCACAAAGTGATCACTTTGTTGGTGTAGGGCCGCTGTCGGTCCTCGGCCGACCAGAGCCGGGCGAGACCGAAGTCGCCGAGCTTCACCTCGCCCCTAGACAACAAACGTATAGGTTATTTCACAATATGAAAAATAATAAAAAAAAACGACCGAGCCTTACAGAAGTCGCGTATGATGTGTAACATTTGAAACCTCACCTTATATTAGTAAAAAAGAAATTAAACCTACTACAAAAGGAATAAGCCACTTTAACATTGTTCTAAAATCAAATCAAATAGCGCGCGCTTTCGCAACTTCCTGTTACACACTTCCGTCCCATTTCACGAAATCACTCCCACAAATTGCAGGTAAGCGAGAGGAAAGATGTTACACATCAGCAACAGTATCAATTGTTTGCAGCTGTATTTGATATGAAAATTAGCAGCGCTTTTCTATTCCGCTTGAATAAATAAGTTTTGTAGTCTCGTAACCGAAGACGCCTGGGATTGGCAGAGACTAAAGTGACGTCACGCGCTAGTGGTCCCTGACATTACATTGTATCGTTCGAGGTATGAAGACAGTCGTGTGACCTCACATACTAGTGAGACGCCATATTATTCAGAGAAACGTTTTCGCGGCAACTTGAAAATGGAGTTTTTGATTTGGTTATTTTTACTGAAATACACAACAGAATGATGAATATCTACTTTTTACGGACTCCATAAACATTAGTCAATAACGTGAGATCATTGGCTAAAACTTGTCAAACAGCCTATACTACTTGATAATTACTTTAGTTGAAGTTTAGTATACTTACTTGTTGTTCATAAGTATGTTGCTACATTTGATGTCTCTGTGCAGAAAATTCTTCCGGTGGCAGTAGGCTAACCCGTCTAAAAGCTGGCGCATTATGGAAGCGTTGTGCGACTCTGTGAAATCCACCATTTTGGATTCTAACAAGCCCATAAGGTCGTGGTCCATGTACTCGAACACTAAGTAGAACGAGCCTTTGTCCTGAAACAAAATGTTTGGTTTAAATATATGTATCTGAATAGTGTCAAAAGAACTAGTCTTCTGATTGCGAATTTTAACATTTGGACGCAATTGTTGAGTAAAACTAATAATAGTGTAATATATGCAGTGGTGTCGATTCTAGCATGATTCGTAGACAACAGTGTACCCTTGTCATAGGCTCTACTCAGAATGAAAACGAGAGACCTATGTTAAATTTAGTTTTAAGTTTAGAGAATCATGCCAGAATCGACACTTATTGACTAAAAATTTTCATCAGCTCTTATATCTGATGTAATGTAAGGGAAATAGTGTATCACCTTGCGGAATGCCCTTGTTCTGTTTGTCGTTAACTATCGCATATTAGACGTCAAAATAGCATCAACAAATGGTTAAGCTGTGACCTTTTAGGCTATATTGGTCATCAACTGGATTTGATAGAGTAAATATTTGACGATTCAAAATAGCTTTCTATTAGTCAATTTGGATAAAGTATAATTTCATTTATTTTTTTCAATTTTATTTTTTGATGATGTTCTTGTGGTTGAGATGCCTGAGGATCTTGATCTCCCATACGGCGGTGATGGGGAGTCATATGAAATGAGCAATGAACAAAGAAAATTACTTATAGCCTCACCTTGCGGAAGTCCAAAGCGCCCTGTTTGTCGGTAACAATCTCCCGTAGATTGACGATGTTCTAGTGGTTAAGCTGCCTGAGTATCTTGATCACTCGTACGGCGGTGATGGGAAGTAATATAAAATTAGCAATGAATAAAGAAAATGACTTATAGCCTCACCTTGCGGAAGTCCTAAGCGTCCTATTTGTCGGTAACAATCTCCTGTAGATTGACGATGTTCTAATGGTTGAACTGCCTGAGGATCTTGATCTCTCATACGGCAATGATGGGGAGTAATATGAAATTAGTAATTAATAAAGTAAATGACTTATAACCTCACCTTGCGGAAGTCCAAAGTGTCCTGTTTGTCGGTAACAATCTCCCGTAGATTGACGATATTCTTGTGGTTGAGCTGCCTGAGTATCTTGATCTCTCGTACGGCAGTGATGGGGAGTAATATGAAATTAGCAATGAATAAAGTAAATGACTCATAGCCTCACCTTGCGGAAGTCCAAAGCGTCCTGTTTGTCGGTAACAATCTCCCGTAGATTGACGATGTTCTTGTGATTGAGCTGCCTGAGGATCTTGATCTCTCATACGGCGGTGATGGGAAATAACATGAAATTAGCAATGAATAAAGTAAATGACTCATAGCCTCACCTTGCGGAAGTCCAAAGCGTCCTGTTTGTCGGTAACAATCTCCCGTAGATTGACGATGTTCTTGTGGTTGAGCTGCCTGAGGATCTTGATCTCTCTCACGGCGGTGATGGGGAATCCTTCCTTCTCATTTTCTAGGCGGACTTTTTTCAAAGCCACTAGTTGGCCAGTGTTCTTATCCCTAGCTTTGTACACTTGACCGTATGTGCCTTCGCCGATTTGTGTGATGACCTGTATTAGGCACAAGTTTTTTTGGTGAGAAACTGAGTTGTTGTTTTAGCTTAGAACTTCAAATGAGCTTTTAATGAAAGAAAGGCAAAATGGAGAGGTCTTTTGAAAAGCTTTAGAAATTTTCAGAATAACTTTCATTTTATACTACAAAACAAACAAGTGAATCAGGATTGATTTAATATAAAGGTTTACCTATACTTATTTGAATTGCCCTTTTGTGAATTATATTTAAACTAAAGTGAATAATGGTTCAAGATCTTACATTATTTTAAACCAACTTGCATCCGCGACTTCGTCCGCGTTAACTTTATTTTTTAGAGAATCTAGAACCTAACATTTTTAAAGTGTCTCAATCCAAGTCATAAGCTACGTATATGCGTACGAATTTAGGATACCCCAACATTCGTTGGAGGATATTGGGGTATCCTACTTATATTATAAATGTGAATGTTTGTATGTTTGTTACGTGATTGATCACGCAAAAACTTTTTAAAGAATTTGGGTATAAATTCTAAGGCCCGTATTAATAGATTGCTCTCAACTCTGAAATTACGATTTTGAGATACTGTTTTCATACAAAACAGCATCTCGAGATCGTTCTTGACTATGTCCTTGATTATTTTATAGTCATAATTTTTATATTACACATTTACATTTGTAATGGAAAGTGACTTCATGAGTTACCTCATATCGAAGTCATTTTTCAATTTAACGACTCTGTATATAATACAGGGAGAAAAAAAACAGCCCTTGCTGATTTTCTTGCCGGTTCTTCTCAGTACAAGGTCTCCCGCCGTAGATTTGTGAACAGATGGCGTAGCTTTTCGACATTCACAAGTGCTTGTAACAGCCTAGACTGAATAAACGATATTGATTTTGATTTTTTTTGATTTTATGAAAGCGATCCATTAATACGGGCCTACGAGTTATGCACGAAATTTACCTGAAACCCGTCAACGCACTTCTCTCCCCAGTCCTTGGCGTGGTGTGCTGGCGTGGCAACTGCAACAACTTTGGACCCACGCCGTTTCAGGATCCGCGGCCGCTTTAACTTGCAGCCGGCCTATTATGGAATAAAAAAATAGTTGTCTCAAAAGTAGGTTTATTCATTCGGTCGGTTCATTCCTGTCGAAATTTAAATATGTAAGGATTGAATGGTAGTTAATTACTTGGTCGTTCTTGCAAAACGACTACTGCGCAATCCGTACGGATTATAGATTCCGGCAAGAATGAATGTTAGTGGATGGCCCGCTACTTTTACGTGTCGTTCGCTGTTTTCCTCGTGGCAGTTTTATGAGACTATTTGTTCCAGTTCGTTTGAGCCCAAGCACGCCTAAGTAGCTCTATGGGGGCGCGAATAAGAAACGTTCGAAGAAACAGAATTATTATTATATGTATTTGTTTCCTATGTTTTCATGCACACCACCCATAAAACACGCTTAAACCGGTTCAAAATGTAGCTTTTTATTACTTTTCGTCGTGTCCTTTTCAGGCTAATAATTCTGACAAAGCAGCCTGAAAAGGATGCGAAACGTGGAAAAGTAATAAAAAGACGCATTATGAACCCGTTTAAGAGTGTTTCATTTAAGAATTATTACTACTCACGATATCTCTCGCAGCATTTCTTGAGCTAAACATGTGTGAATAGTGATCTCTTCGGGAAGCGGGCGGCGGCGTGGAGCCGTCCAACTCGTCGCCGCTCAACTCTTCCGATCCGGGGATCACTGCAACAATATTTTTATAAATTTTATAGTAACGTAATAAATCTATACATATAATAAAATGGTAGGAAAGTCAAAACTGTACATTGAATATTTTTTAAAAGAATACATGGGGTGTGATCTACAATTGATACCAAAGCCAAAAACATAGTTTTTAGAATTTTTGTCTGTTTGTCTGTATGTATGTCCGGGATAAACTCAAAGAGTACTGCATGGATTTACTTCAAATTTGGCACAAATATTATTAAGAAGTCGGGTCAACATATTATAGGCTATATATTATCACGCTATCACCTACGGGGAACGAGCAGTGAACCCTTTTGGGGTCAAACAGTATGTGCCAATAACTAACTGCACGCGTACGTAGTCGCGACCGGCCGCTAGTAATAACATAAAAACTAGACTTTCAGACTGCTGGCACTCCAGGGAGGCCATACCTAAGGTAGACCCACGGCTAGCAAGTAAGTTTTGCAAGTTACCAAGACATGCTCTGAAACAAATAGTGAGCATTCTCACGGGACACGGACACTTTAATAAACATCTGTTTAAAATAGGTGTCTCGGACAGTCCTCTGTGCAGAGCCTGCATGGAGGAAGAGGAGACGAGCACTCACGTCCTGCTGCAGTGCAGAGGCGTGACCAGACATTGGATGACACACCTGGGCAGCCCGCAGACGGTACTTGAGGCCTGCGGCGACACCAAGAGACTGCTGAGCTTCTTGGGGGAGCTGGGATGGCACGACTAAGGCCATCCTCACACGCAAAATAGGCACCTGGTGCCGAGTTGCGCGGAAAACACCCACCGTGAAGAAGAAGAAGAACATAAAAACTGACAGCCACTCTCCGCTTTGAGATAGTGAGATCTTTGGAGGCTAAAAAAAGCAAGACCCTCTAGTAGTTTTAAAAGTGGAGGGCATCTCACAAGGCGTCTCATTTCCACCTTAGGCAGCCCTCAAAGCAGAAATACTCGTCTATAGATTATTACAAATCATAAACAGTATTTACCAGGCGGCATAGGTAGATTCATGATGCCGGTCCGTTTCTTCTCCGGTTTATCTGGCTTCTTAACGGGACTGGGCGATGGCGTGCTCAATGGACTGTCGTTCGCTAACGTCTTAAGATCCTCCACCTGAAAGGACATTGGCATCTTTAATAATTAAATATTGTTTTGTTTACAATAGGGGCCGTACAAGTATTACGTAAGCAGATTTATTACAATTATTTACCTACCCCTTGTCAGCAAAGGTAAGCAAAGCTCTTACCCAAAGCAAAGACCCCCTGCCTCCTATAGTGCTTACTTAATACTTGAACGGCCCCTTAGGCTTAAGTTTATGTTCTCGGGCTTGTACAGACAGTACAAACCTTCCGAGAAAAAACAGTTTAAAGTAGGCGATAACGACCTTGTTGGGAGATTACACATACAGAGAAAAATTTATTTGTGAATAGGGGTAGAAGAGCCTAAGCGCGGATTTTTGGGTTTTCTCGAGCGCGGCATATAAACATTGCACCTTGTGAAGTACTCCCACCATGACTGAGTCCTCTACGAGACTGAGACTTTTGGTCACGACCAAATTGTCAGTCTTTTAAATAGGAGGTTCTGAGGACAGAAAAAATATTGAACTGCCGCTTTGCATGGTGTAGGTGGCCGTGTGAAGAAATCAAATGACAATATAATTTATTCAAATTGACTTTTTGAAAACTATTTTGAATCGGCCAATATTTATGCTACCAAAGAGAGAGGTAGAAAATAAGAAAAAAAAACAAGTGTGCTTTTATGACCACACGACTGAAGTGAAACTTTTTTAGCTCCATCTGTATGTATACTTGCTATAAGAGAAAGAGAAAGAACAGTGCGCGCACACTGCTTTCTCTTGCTTCTATCCCCCACTCGACTTCCGTTCGCCTCGCCCGAACACACTTTTCGTAACGCGTAACGCATTCGCCAGCTTACCCCCCAAGTCAAGCGTAAAGAAATTTCACTTCAGAAATATTCGAGCGCGTCAGACATTGAGAATGGATGTAACGTGAACCCTACAGTAGCTCCTGTTCAAGACTGACTATATGGACGCAAAAACGTGTCCAAATCGTTATTATTATAGCTATTATAGTGTGGAGATCTCTCTCACCTGTGTATTGGGCGGCATCGGCAATTTCGTGAGACTCCTAGGCTTCGGCGGTGGAGGTTGAGCGTGCAGCATAAAAGCACTGTCTACAACGCTCGTAGTTCCGCTTGCCCCGCTCGAACCGCTTGAAGCGAGCGAGCGTGTTGGACTCGACGACTTCTGCTCGATGGATAAAGACTGTATTATAGTCAATGTTTTGTTAAAACGGCCATTAAGCCTTTTTTCGGCAACATTTTATACTAAAAAAAACAGTTTTATGTCTATTTGGACTGATCTTATTAAAGTGCGTAACCCTCAGGATCATGAAAAAAACAATGCGTATAATGGCGAATGTCACATACGCTGTTAGGATGAAAGGCCTTATGTGGTATTTCCGCGTTTACATTTTTCATCATTTGCAAGTTTCCGAAAAAAGGCTTATTCGTCCTTTTCACAAGACACTGGTGATATTTTTTTAAATGTAACAATAACTTATGAATCTGGGTGATTTAAATACACTACATGTCCAAAAATAATGCTGTTCACAAGTATACTTGCATACAAAAAGTAGTAAATTTTACATTTCTGACAATGTTAACAAAAAATAAATAAAAATAAAAGAGGTAATTGCCTGGAGGAAGAGGAGTAATTGCCTCGATTATTTTTACTACGAGTTTGATGGCACAGTACTTAGCGCGTTCAGTCTTCGATCGTCAACACTCAGACAGTCAACCCTTTTTTCGCAATGAATAAAAATAATAAAAAATAAAATAATAATAATAAAATAATCATAAAAAAAACGATAAAAAGTTTATCATCTCAACTTTCTTTGCATTTCGGAGGGCACTTTAAGCCGTTGGCCCACATTTGAAGTTTATTAAGACAGCAGTTGTAGCCCGCTATCCCTATACCACCAATAATAAATTATCGAGGCAATTACTCCTCTTCCTCCAGGCATAGGGCAAGACTGCCAAAACATTGGGATATAAATCAATAACTTGTGTTCCTATAATAGACTCACCTCGTTGTTTTCAGAAAATTGCGATTCACCATTGACATCCTCGACCACCGGCAACGGGGCAGGGGGTAACGCCGGCGTTGGGGGTAACGCTGGTGTAGGGGGTAAGGCTGGCATAGGGGGTAAGGCCGGGGTCGGGGGTAAACCCGGAGTCGGGGGTAAGGCCGGGGTGGATGGTAAGGCAGGGGGTACAGTAGGCGGGGCGGGGGGAAAGCTAGTCGGGGGTAAGGAGTTCGAATCCCCGTCGGGCCCGGGCATGGGGATGTCTACTATTTGTTCGGTGCTCTCTTTACTGGTGTCTTGCTCTTTGCCGTTCTCGCCGTTCTCTCTCGACGCCTGTAGACGGGAGATGTGAATAAACATTTGGATTTGGAAGTCACAGCTGTTCTTCCTTTAGTAAAACACCCACGTTGGGATTAGCACTTTCTTTCGCGGGATACATAGTGCTTAATACTACAATGAATAACAAGGTCATGAATAAATCAACAGATATTGCAGCTTTTCAAACTACAAAACCATCTAAATGCACAGCTTTGAACAATCTTATTCTTTAATTTAATTAATCTTATTAATTTGGTAAGCAGTTAAAAATTTTGACTTTACATTTTGTTAATGTTCGAGAATTGTGAGTCATAAATTGATGTGCTTCACACTGACCTGCGTAGAGCTGTCAGCAGTGGCATTAGACAATTCATCTATGGTGAGTATCTCTGGGTTGTTAATGGAGGTGTTGGTCGACAGAGCACTCTGCGATTCCTCCTCCTTCTGACTTAGGATCTCTTGGAGTTTCTATAACAAAGTAACTGACTTATAAAATAATGTTTTTTTAAGTAGTTAAACAAGGCGGCATATTATATTCAATTTATTTATAACGGCGGTTATAACAAAATTGACATTTAATATTATGCGCGAAAAAGAACCGACAACCGTACAGCAAAGGTTACTCTGATGCAAAATCGCATAAATATATTTGACAATGGTGTCGATTCTGGTATGATTCTCTAAACTTAAACTTAATTTTGACAACAGTGTATCCTTGTCATTCTGTATACAGAAATACAAAAGTGCTTTTCATGAACTTTTAAGGAAAATTATAAGGATTAAAATAGATTTGTTAGATTATTTTTATTTTATTTTTAAAGTTTAACAGTAATTGTCATTCAACTTATGTATTAGAAAATTTCTGACCTAATAATTCCTTAGAAGAAAACGTAAATCTTTAGACGAAGTAATTGGACAAAATGTACTGTTTCCAAAATATTTTGTCCTACACTGCGCGAGGCACGACATGTACTTGGCCGGCTTTTTATCAATAATATTTACTTAATCGTAAATAAAATATTAAATCTTTTGCACAGGAGCAATTTTGAATCCATAGTTTTATTTAAGTTATTCTACTGTAACTAACCTTAGCTCTCTTCTGTTTGTCCTTGACGAGTTCAGCGAACAGACTCGTGTCGCTAATCTTCTCATTGAAGTCTATCTTGCGTTGAAGCACGGTAGTAGGTGGGCTGGGCGACTCGTATTTACTTCTGTGGAAACAAATACAACGATATTAAATACCCAACATAACGATATTAGATACAACAACACGAACAAAATCGTGTCCGAAACCTGTCCACGGAGCTCCGTTAGATGAAGGCATTATTTAAACATTGAAAGTCACCTTTAATGCATACTGTATAAGGTCTTAATTAAAACGCATGCGTGAAAGACTACACATGTTAGGACTAAGGCGGCGCCGGGAACCGGATCGCCGCCGTTTCAAAGAAATGCGACTGGGTGACCTAAGGATAAAGTACATATTCTTGTCATACATTCCGTCACCATACCTGTGTCGTTCCCTCTCCGGGTCGCGGTGCCGGGGCCGGTGCCGCGGCGGTGACGCGGTGGAGCCGCGTCGGCGGCGGGAACCGGACCGTCTCCGTTTCAAAGAACTGCGACTGTGTGACCTAAGGATAAAGTTCATAGTTGTAAAATGAAACTTATGACATCGGCACCAATTTATTCGTTCATCTTTAGCAAATCGCATAACATTCTTAAACGTTATTAAAAAAAACAGACGTAATCAACACGCATCCGTGGTTCAATGGAAGAGAACAAGACTACTAGACTGGCGGCCCGGGGTCGATTCCCAGCCGAGTAAGGACGTTATTTTATTTTATACTTTTAATAAGCCTGCAATTTTTGAGGCGATATGAATAAACACTTTAAAAGTTTCACTTGCGTGTGGCATAAAACAACTTCAATTTTTTTGTCATACAATGAATTCAGAATTTGACATACATCAGTAAATATTAAGAATACGAAGAGTTTCGGAGTGGTGATCTGCACCTATAACTTTAATAAATAAAGTCTTTTTTACAGGATTATTCCTGGATTTATTATTTTTATATTTATATTAGGCTAAGAACTCAATCACAGCGACAGCGGAGGAGCCGTTTTATTTCAAAACGCGGCTGCGGTGACTGCTACGCTGGTGGGACCACCGTGGGTTGTCGGTGCGACCACCGACATTCTGATACTCTGTGCACCTCGTGTACGGGCGAGTCCGAGTAAAACACACGGATCGTATAGAAGGTATCCTCACCGGTGCGACACCTTCGGCTCGCGGTGGCGGTCGCGGTCGCGGCTGCGGTGGCGGCGGTCGCGGTCGCGGCTACGGCGCCGGTGCGACCGCCGCGGGCTGTACTCCCCCCGTGGTACTCTATGCACCTCGTGAACGGGCGAGTCTGAAAGAAGCACACATAGAGTCAAGCAAAACCTAAACTCCATAACATTCTCTTAGAGCAAGCGCACTTTTGAGCCACCGATCGCCGCCGCTAGTTCTTGCTCTTAAATTTGCCAGTAGTTTTAAGCTTATTAAGCTCTTTAAAGAATTAAAAGAAGAGAACACTACAATCAAATCAATAATAATTGATTTGATAGATTGACTATTCACCATCACATTATAATGGCCTACTATTTACAACAACTAATTTATCGATCAATGCTTTTTAAAATTTGCCTTGTCATTTTAAAAATACCGCTACATTATGCAAGCATGATTTTAAAAACCCTAGATACAAACTGCTTGGGGTACGCATAAGCAGTATTCATGCGGGCTATTTAAACGGCTCTAGTGATACGTCATTTCCCCAAGTTAATCTATGGTTAAACTTCTTAATACAAAAGTAAGTAGTGACTCTAACAATCACAAAAAACGGTTTATAGTCCCATGGGTAGCGCGCCCTGATCGGGGCGTTGCGGTGTTTGGCCGTGCGATGTATTTTTCGAGCGCGTCCTGATCGGGTCGTGTGGTCTTATTTGAGGCAAACGCAAAAGCACGAAAACATTCTTGGCCGAAAAACGTGAGGTAGTCAAAAACAATATAAGGCATTATTAAAGCATTGAAGTCCACCATTGATGCATAGTACATAAGGTCTTAATTTAAACGTATACGTAAATAACTTTTACGACAGTTCGAAATGCAAGGACGTAAAATTTTATGACTTATCTTTTTAAACGGAAGAAAATTTACTTTATTTCTTTGACTTTATATCGATATTCCAAATGCGCTGTTCAACCGCACTAAATGTCGCAGGCACGGAGCGCAAGAATTTAATTATTACAAATATTTTCTATTAAATCGGTTTATAGCAAATTAGAACACAATTTGCTTCTTCAAATACATTAAATTAACAAACATTATTGTTTGTTGACGTTTCAACGGTTGACATTTAAGCACTTCTTGATTGAGACACATTTAAAGCATTCGTGATGTGTATCTGGGTTTTTAATATAGTTGTAGATAATATATTGAATCGCGAACAATCTCTTCAATTTTCTAGACTGTGAATCTTATGTCGAGCAATATAAAGCTCAAAGTCATTGTGATAACCTGTGGCTGTCTATGCTAACGACGCTACGAAAAGCGATATAGTCCGGGAGGCAAAGCTGAGCTTTGCATTTGTGTGAGTGCATGTACATAGATATGTGTGCAGCGTGAAGTGTTTACTTCTTAATATTTTGTATTTGTTTTAGATTTATTTGTGAATTAGCTGCCAACACAAATAAACGAAGATTAAGGAAACCTTTAAGTAGTGAAGAAAAAGAAAGTGATTTAAATATGTAGATATTTTAAAGACATGAGCGATAGCGATGTCAAGGGTCACTACATAAACCTGATTGGTAGCTACATCGACGGGAATTCCGAAATCGAATTGAATTTGTTGTTATGACTTCTCAGTGAGACTTACATACATACTAATCAGTCATTTATATCACAACGATTATTATTTAAACAATTTTTGCTTATTTAGTTTTATTTTATTTTTAAACTAGAAAACCTCTCTGACTTATATTACAAGTATACCTACCTAAAACATGATTTTATTTTTAGAAGTTTTTTGTCTATCACTACTTTTGGTGATCACTCCCACAAATGCAAAGCCCAGCTTAGGTCTCGCTGATTGTACCACTGTTGCTCACACCAGGGCGAGACCTTATATATCATCAACAGTACCCATAGCACGAACCAATATCGAATTCGAATAGTTTTCGAGTGCTTAATGTCAATATCAAATTTGGTATTGAAACTTAAACAGCAGCGCCACAAAGTACGTAACGAGAACTAAAAATCAGTACACATTTGACAATTACATTTCGGACTCGCAAACGTTACGAATTCGATATTGGTTCGTGCTAATGGTACAGAAGACTGATCGAAAAATGAAACCCGACCAAATACTCACCTGACACCATGATAGGTGACTGTGGCACCCTCTCGTGCCAATAGTCCCTGCGACTGCGCTCATACTCGGGCTCCGGGTCTGAATCGATCGTCACAGTGTCATGGTAAGGGGGCACAGACGGCGTGTGCGGTGTAGTCGACTTCTGTCTTCGCCTGTGATTAACATTAGAACTTTAACGACCGCACTTGAAGAAGTCTATTAAATTTTTAGTACGACTTTCAACTTTGCGTGAGAAATGTCGCAAAATTCCAAGACATCCGTACAAAAATAAGACAGTTGAAGTGGAGATGGGCGGGATACATCTTAAAAGATACAAGAATGAAATGGACACAAAAAATTACAGAGTGGACCCCTGATACAACACAAAGAGAAGTAGAGGAAGGCAGCGCAAAAGATGGTCTGATGATATTAAGAAATCAGAGCTACCTGGGCAAAAGATTTCAACGTATGGAAAAGGTTAGAGTGGCTAGAGAGGCTTATGTGGCATAGGCCACGCTAAATAATAAATATAGGAGAAAAAAAGTTCTAATAAAATATTAATTTGTCAGCAAATGAGGCTATAAATAAGATAAATTATCAACTTTGCACTGCACTTTTTGGAACGCGTAGGAAAGAGCTGGAGGAGGTCTATGCCAAAAGGCATGCCAAACTCAGATAACATTTAAATTTAATTTCAAGAAAATAGCAGCAACAAAGGTTTATAAATGACTATCAACTTTAGTCTTGATGTAGCATTAATTTTATTAGACTCTTCCGAGTATGGTCATAAGTCTTGTTATTTTGACATGTTGTTTGTATTCTGGAGCTAAATATGCAAACATTGGTAATAGGAATTTACCAAATCGAAATAGACTGGGTTGGCTGTTTATCTATGTTACATAAAATTAACTTTTATTTTTGGTAATAATGAGATTCACATCCTATGTTAAAAAGTCTACATATAGACTTGCTATGTGCGTTTATCACCATTTGACCAGGGTTACTTTATCGATACTGTAAACGAAAAATTGTGTCATTGTTACAAACGCCCTCCGTCCAATTAAAACTACCTTTCATATTGAGAAAACTCGGTAAACGCGGCCTTACGAATTTAAAGACACTCGGCGAAGTTACCACGGAAATATTCAAAAAGTCACATATACTGGTTGAAGACTACATAATGCATGTTCGACAGTCGACATTGTAAACAACGTCTGAATTTATGAATAATGTCGAGTGCAGCATATACGGTCACCTTGCCGCCCGCGTCCATATGAACTGCTTATCATAGCCATATAAATCAAATCAATTGATGTATGAACATCAGTAACAGTTAGTATCGTGAGATTTACAAAATTAGTTCAATTAGACTTGATATAAAACAAGCTTTCCCAACGCATGCACGAAACAGTTTTAAGATAGTATGAAGCAATAAAATATATTTAAAGAAAAGTTTTATTAGAAAAAAATCTACGCGACCAGGCAGCGGACGGAACTCGAACGCGCACCCTTCGCAATCCGGGCGAATGCACTGATTTTCTTTAGTTTTAAACATCTAGCAGTTAAATGCTTAAAAAAATAAAAACATTACTAATAAAATATATTGTTTACCTGGTATCACTATAAGTTGGCATGAAAAAATACATAATATAGCATTAGTTTATTTGGTGTTAAAGAGTTTGATGCTTAGGACATTTGAATTGTTATAAGGATAGCAGGGCATTCAAATATTTCTAACATATAATGATCAAATAATTCCTCAAAGTGCAGTGAATATGAATAATCTAGGTTTGTTGTTTTTTATGTTGTTATGGTAATTGATTCCCCTTATATTATACATACGTATAATTCAAGGTTGAAGTGCCTCTTAGTCCATAATAGTTTGTACTGAATAGCGATAGTTTTCTTCAATAATTTTCTTCTGCCATACGAGGTTAAGCAAATTTCACCCTTAACAGAACTATAATAATATGATAATTGTTATCCAGTGGCAGTTTTATCATTCTGTGACACTTGCACCAACATTATTAAATTTAAATTTGAGTCATGTTTAAAGCTCATTGTATCTCTAATTTACTTCAAACATTTGACAAAGATACACTGATATGTTATGCGGGCACTTCACTTGGCCATTCGTGTTTGGTATTTGTATACTCGACATCAGTCTGTCCTTTTCATTCCTTATTAAGCGTAATATGGATAATTTTTGTCAAGTTTACAAATAGCGAATACGAATAGCCAAGTGAGGTGCTAGTCCAAGCAAAAAAGTAAAGTCAAAAAACAAATTTTGCCGCACTCTAGCTTTTTTGCGGTGCGTGCGGTGGTTTAAAATTAAAATGTAGGGTATTCACAACTGGCCGTCATATTGGAAAACGCGTTTATCGCTATATATCCGAAATTACTGACTGTTCAGAAAAAAATATAGAGTACATTTTTGTTTATTCCTAAATTCCAAAACTTTTTTGTCTAAAACTTTTTATTCTAACAATTACCATTTTTCAATTATTGTTGTTTATTTGAACATGTTTGTACTTTGTCCTTTATAAAACCTATGCTATTAATTGATAAAAAACGACTTATAAGTTATTTGTTGGTACAAATGAATTAAATTTGAAATTTTGGTGAAAATGGGTCTTAGAATGATTTTGTTATCTGTTGATCTTCAATCAATGGTAGTTCATAAAATTGGAAAAAATATATGCAAATTATTCAGACTTTTTAAATAAGAACTGTTATTTTAATATACCTATTTTACAGACAGTTAAATGTTAAAATCGTAATATCGTTAATAGCACACATGATATGGATACTGAAATTCCTGTGTACATTGTAATGCAGGTGCAAATAAGTATTTTTAAGAGAGACAAAGCAAATATAAACCTTAAACATCAATGCTTTTAAAACTCATTGTATGCATACAACTGTGTTTTAGTTGTAATAATTCAAATACAAAGTACATATTTCAAATAGACAATATGTTATGTGTGCCACCAGCACACTTAAACTGTTACAGATATTATTTCTCCATAAACATTATGGATACTGGGCTAGCATTAACTTTCATTGAAACTAAGATAAAAGATCAAAGTTCACATATCATATGCACAAACCCTATTGTAGCAACTGTCATAAATTCATTTGTACAGAATGAAAAGGGGATACTGATGTTAAATTTAGTTTTAGAGAACCAAGCCAGAATCAAAATTAAAAATTTCAATATTTTATTGAAATGTTCTAAAACAATATAGCAATATGTTAAGGATCAAACAAAAAAACGAGCGAGCCTTACAGTAGTCGCGTATGATGTGTAACATTTGAAACCTCAACTTATATTAGTAAAAAAAAAAACTACTACAGAAGGAATAAGCCATTTGAACATTATATTCTAAAATCACATCCAATAGCGCGCGCTTTCGCGACTTCCTGTTACACACTTCCGTCCCATTTCACGAAATCACTGCCACAAATTGCAGGAAAGCGAGAGGAAAGATGTTACACATCAAAAACTCATAACATTAAGAAACAAAAGAAACTTAAGAAGTGATGATAACTCACCTGACTATGGGAGATCTATCCCGATGCGGGGAGAAGGGTGGCATCGGGTTGTGGTGCAGCGGCGGTTCCCTGAGCACGGGCGGGCGGTGTCGCGGCGACATCGGCAGCACGTCGTGGCGGTCCCGTAGTAGCGGCGGCGTGCTCGGCGACACTGGCGAGCACGAGCCGTTGCGCAGCGGCGACGACGCCTTCTCCCACTCGCTCACCGGCACCTGCTCGTACCGCTGCGGCGTCGCCCGCGGCACCTCCGCCGGTGCGATCTCATCCGGCGACACACTCTCCAAGCTCGCCGACCGAGAAGCGTGCCGACTCCTCTTCTTCTTCTTTTTCTTATCCTTCTTCCGCTTCTCTTTCTTCTTCTTATATCTCTCCTCGAACTCTGCCTCCTCTACATATTCGAGCGCCCGGCGCTTCCTCGAAGCTGCCGAAGAAGAATCATGGGTGAGAATGTAGTCGTCCGCGCGGCGGCTCGAGGTGGTGACCGATATGGTCTTGTTGTCGACGAAAGTTCGTATCGGATGCGAGCGACGCGTGCGGTCGAGGTCGTCGGCGATGTGCCGCCCTATAGAGCTGGCCTCGCTCTCAATCTCGCCCGCCTCAGGGGCGGAGAGCTCCTCCGAGCTCACATCGGAATACTCCACTAGAGGTTTGACAGAGTTGCTAGTAGCATATGATTGTTCATGTGTACCGCTGTGACTCCTGTACTTCTTATGTAAGCGCTTCTTGTGCTTCTCCTTGTGATGCTTGCTGTGCCGCTTATCGTAGCTGCGTTCCATTGCCGACAGTAGGGCGGGTGGCCCGCCCGGTTGCGCCTTTTCACATTACATCAACTGTAACAATTATTTTATCTTATTTTATTGAACGGAGTTCCTTTTCGGACGACTTGGACTTAGGGGATGACTATGCGTTAAAAGTGTAAGATTTTTCCTTCACAACTGTCTGTTGTTTAATAACACTAATATTATAAAGGCGAAAGTTTGTGTGCGAGTGTGTGTTTGTTACTTCGTCACGTCTAAACGGCTGGAGCGATTTTAATAAAATTTGGTATGGAGTTAGCTGACACCCCGGATTAACTCATAGACTACGTTGTACTACAGGAAAATATCCCTATAAACTACGGGTAACACCGCGGGGCACAACTAGTAGAGTATAATGTGTATTTGTGTACATACAGCAACGATATTTAATACCACAATAAATTAATATTGCCTAATTCTAGGCTAAAACAAAACTATCATCATCAAGCACATTTAATTCATCAATTAAAATTTATAACAAATTGCCCAATACAATAATGAATGAAAATAATTACTTGACATTTAAAAATAAATTAAAGAAATTTCTAATTAACAAATGTTATTATAATGTAAATGAATATTTTAATGATAAGATCAGTAATTATTAATGTACATGTACAAATAATTTACTTAATTATTTATTATATTTTATATTTAATTTTGTGAAATTATTAATATTATTATTTATAAATAAATCAGATCCAATCCAATTATAACAATCAAAAATAAACAAATGAAACAATCTCTAACATCCAATTTAAATTTTACTACCTATTAGTGTTGTTCTTCTGAGAAGCGTATCCTCTCTTCTAATAACCAATTGCGTGCCCCACGGGGTCCATAATGCTCATATTTATATAAGTACCTACCACCCACTGTACACATTATGGTTGTAATAAATGATTTGAGTTTGAGTTTGATACACCATCACGAACAAAACGTAAATCCTGTCCAAAAGTTGCATGAACGATCACGAAACTCCGTAAGATGATCATGTAGTCAAAATTAAAAAACAATATAAGGCATTATTACAACATTCAAAGTCACCATTTTTGCATAATAAAGTCTATCTCTTATCTATTAGACAAGTCCGTCCGTCCGTCCGTCTGTGGTGCTGTTTCAGCAGCCAAACCGTAAGAGATAGATAAAGAGAATGTTTAAGTTATAAGTTAAGAATAGTCTGATAAGACTACAAACCGGATTTGAGTAACGTAGCACTTCCGGTTTTCGAGAAATCACGAATTTCAAACGAAACCACACAAAATCTCGGAAGTTCTCAATTAATTAAATACATTTTTTTTTAAATCAGGTTTTGATGAACATTTGGTTCACTGGTTTGCTAGTATATTTATAATAAGTTCGAAATGCAAGCTTGTAAAATTGTACGACTAGTTGCTATAGGCGAAAGACTATAACAACGTAATTCAGAATGCGCTGTAATTAATATCTATAGCCGGTATGGAGCGCGAGAAAAAGAAACGGCTATACAACCATGCCTTTGAATATCACAAATATTTTCTATTAAATCAGTTTACTTTATTAAATACTTACTGTATTGGAACAAAAAAATGGAAATAAATATAGTATGTGGTTAAAATATTTAATTTATTATTGAAATGAGTATATTTTTGCTGCTGTATTTAGGGTTGCCACCCGTACTTTATTATAAAGTATTGTGCGTTATTTGGGGTAATTGTACTCTATACTTTATGTCAACAATAAAGTACGCGAAAATACTTTATTTAATGTGATTTGATTACTTGGGGATTAATTTTACATAAAACATACAAAAAGAGGATAGAGTCTGTGCGGAAAGAGAATGGGCGTGGCGAAAAACGGAACTAACATTAAGATTTTTATTTGGCAATCAAACCCAGCAATCTGTAAAACGTCAAAGTTTTGTATTGAAAGGATTTGTTTGTTGTTGTGATTTCTTGCGGTTTTTTTGTATTTAATGATGTCTAAAAGGGGTAAAACCTTACAAATACGGTAGAAAAGCACTACAGCGCCCTCCAATCTAAATCCCATTCTCTTTCCGCACAGACTCTAGGAAGAATTTTTGCGTAAAACGGAACAACAGTATATATACCTATGTCGCCCTTAGCTCATTTCTGCAACATTGTCGCGGCTGTATGGCTTTGTACAATGGTCTTTCCCATTGCGGATAAGAACTACAGATTTTTAATAGCCCCAAATTATTTATTTAAAGTTGCTAGAAGCAACACAAAATGTATTTTTAAGCTTACTAATAAATTGGAATGAAATGTACTTTTATTTGGACATAAAAAGGTGGCAACCCTAGCTGTATACCTTAATAATTCAGTTTTTATTTTTAAGAAAGCTTTTACTAGCAAAAGTATGCTGTAAACAAAATATTTATATAGTAGTTTCGCCTATTATATTTTTTTTAGAAATATAGTATTTGATCCCCAAATATAGTAGGATACTATATTATATAGTAAGGTTGGCAACCCTGCTCTACATACGAAATTACTTTTTTCACATTTTTTCCGGAGCTCTGCGGCTTGTAGATTTCTCAACAGACCGAGCATCCACGAAACTGTGAACCAAGAAGTGCTTGAGTCATGTTCAAGCACTTCTTGATTGGGACACATTTTGAGCGCATGTGGTGTATTATCTTGGGGTATTGAATATCGTTTACACTATGTACTACTTACGGTACTTATGTTTGTATTGGGAAATGTTTAAATTATTACCAAAATATAGTAAATGATCACCAAAACAATACAATTGGTAAACTATAGGTTAGGATACCAATTGTATTTTTGAGGATGGTTTAAGAGAATGAAAGTTTCTTTAAGGATCATTAAATTTTAACTTTGTTCCAACCAAGTGTTCCTAGACACTCAAATTTGTTTTTTTCATATCATATTGAAATTACTATAAAAATAACTTTATGATTTATGAGCTTAAATAAAAAAACTTAGTCTTATTAAATTACTAACCTTTAAAATGCACAATAATTGTGACTGATAAGAGTTGACAGGTCAACAACCCCATTGTTAAAACTGTTTTATACACATAAAGCAGGCTCAACAGATCCTACTTTAAATTCAATCTCATATACTTACAAATTTTTATTCACAAAACAAGTTTATCACAAATAGGTAAGTATATCTTATCAAAAATACTTAGATGAGAAATACAAAACAACAGGACAGCTGATTAAATGAGATGTTCTATTCTCTCAACAAATTAATAATGGAATTATAAATATATGTATTAAAATGCATCATTGGTTTTAAATATTTTTGCATGCTCTGGTATATAATGCAAAAATATAGAGTATATTTGTAAAAAAAAAATTAATATTTTATATCAATTGGTAACCCTAAGTGAAATGAAATAAATAGTTATTTGGCGTAAAATTTTAAGAAAATGCACTAAAATACTACAGCAAACCGCAACTTCTTCGAGAAGGTAATAACAATTTCTGTCTCACAGTAGGTACAGTAGGTATTGGTATTAGAACGTACATTGCCTTAAACAAAGACAGGGAGAATATAACTGTAATAAATTATGAAATCATAAGGAATACCTTAATTCCTACATTATATAAAAAATATAAACTTATGATACAGAAAAGCTGCAACACTTTTAATGGAAGCTTTACAATGAATGTATATTTTATAGAACTTTTTTCTCTTTTCTAAGCATAGAAGTTGAAAAACATAATAAACTTCTGATAAATTTTGTGATATCAGTCTGTTTCATAGAAACCAAATGAAACTTGCACTAATGCACAACATAGCTATTTAGCTATACAATAAATATTTTTAAAATTGAGATTGATGATCAAGGACTTCCATTTTCTTATTCCATGCGACTGGTAATATTATTAAGCCTATTACCTATATTTTTTTTTAAAAGAAAAGCATGCTTCTTTACATCTGCTTTTTGGTAGAGCCTAGTGAATATAGGAAATGCAGTGTGCATTTAGTTTTAAGAAGGCAAAGCATGCACTGATTTTTTTCCTAATAGATTTTTTTGTATGCTGTTAAATGAAGTAATATTAACCAATATAAAATTAATAAAAAATCAATGAGATGAATTAAATTTTGTGTAGTGTCATGCAAATATATTATTTAGTCTGTATCTTTTTTGGTGTTAGTTGAAAGTATGTAAGGTATTTTATGAGTTGAATGATCGTTATCACTCGTGCTTATTTTATCATTTCTTTGTTTAACACCCCGTTGACCGCGGACCAAAAGATTTAGTAGCCTTTTGAAGTTTTTAATCAGTAATTAATTTTTACAAATCACTCATAGTTATGTAACAAATAACATCAATACAATTAACTCCTCTCTCCTCCAAAAAAATTATACTTACTAAAATACTTGAGCCAAACAGATATAAATGGGCAGAACAAACATGAGATGTCATTGTGTTACTTTTTTGCGGACTGTACCTAATGCCTAAATCCAATTCGGATAGTCCTTGAAACCATTTGAATATGTTATACAGTGACAGTACATCAGATAGAAAATCAATAAGCAGTAACACTTTCAATACTTACTTTTTCTGCTGACGGTACTACTCTACATGCAATGAGCATCAAGGAATGGTAAGTACTTAAATAAGTGCCTCGGTAACAAAAATGTTGTACAAAAATTCATAAAGGAAATCGTTACTTACCTATTTCCAAAAATAAGCAAAATAGAAAATTCGCAATGGAGTGTCACCAAAGAACATAAAAATATCACGTCACAAAGAACTTGCAAATGGACGGCCAATTAAAAGAAGGAATTAAAACTACTTACCACAGCATTAACGGGCGTGCGTCCGACACAAACACTAAAAATATTTTTGCAATGTACTTATTTAATTGTGTAAGCTAGGCTCAGTTTTAATTTATAATATTTACTATTTAGGATGGCTTTCTGCCGATAATATAGTTAAATTATTGTTTTCTATGTCTTTCAAAGACTTATTTTGGTAATCATGATCATAAAGAGTGCATTATTCATTAAATTACATCGGATTCTTTCTAGGTATTCAAGAACGTCGATTTTAACAGTCCGCCATTTGCTTTTTCTTTCATCATCTCAGTAGTGCTGTAGACTGACGTGTCGCCAATTTTCCATTTATCGATATATTAATATAATAATCAAACTTAGGTAATATTCGTCAGTACATATTTACAAAACAATATTTCATTAATTAAATCACACTCTTTTTCCCCTATGGAACAAAACCTACAAATCTTGAAATAGTAAGTTGTTTAATCAAACAGTTATGTAACTTCGTTTTATTTTTGTATTTACGTAACATTCATTTTCTATAGGCCATTTTTTATCAATTTAATAACAAATAAGATCTTTTTGGGAAAAGAATTAGCTTTACTGCACTGAAGGTACTTACTCATAGTAACTTTTTAATTCTTAGACACCCATTATTTGAACTGAATAAAACCAAGTAGGTAACTAAAAATAAAAAAAAAATTACCTTGCCCTATGTAGGTGTATATCGTATTCTATTTTATAAGAGACTGTGGTCTACTGGGGTAATTTTACCTGTCAGAGTTGGACACCTTAAGAATCAATTGATCAACGCAAATAAAACTTCTTTTACAAATATATTAAAATAATTAAGCCATTGCCGTGAAAAAATTACAAATTAATATTAAATATTCCACAAAACAGTCTGCTAACTATAATGATTTTTTTTTCATAGGACAGTTGTTTTTATATTCTACTTCGTCCGCATTTAATTTTTGGTTTTTAAGCATCCCTCAGAAACCTACCTTTTCCGAGAAAAAGTCTCAATCAAGGCTATAAACTATATGCGTACAAAATTTCACCCAAATCCATTCAGTAGTTATTGCGCAATTGAGTAACAAACATACAAACTTTCACATTTACAATATTAGTAGGATATAAAATGATAGCATATATTACTTTGTTGTTTTTTTTGGAAATAGGGTTAAACAGAAATAGCTGTGAAATAACGCATGCTTCTCCCTAACGAAATTTTGTTTTTCTAACAATTTAATCGGGTGTGACTTACCCTGTACTTTGTAGTCGCCACGTTTTGACCATAGACTTAGTACATAAATACTTACACAATAAGGAACAGAGATAGCTTGCCCTTACAATCCCACAAGGTAGAAAGAGACGCAACATGATGTACCTTTATTCCAATAAAGCAAGGTACAACAGCGACCTGTCAAGCCTTAAAGTTTATTATGATATTCTGTAAAACTAAGAAAACAATTGTGGCTATACTTAACGTTTTTTATAGTTTGTGTTATGGTGTGTTCAAAGCATGTCTTAACAAAACGACACTATCACTTATTTTATATAATTATATGCGATATATATATGCAATATTTATTGACGACCTCCGTGGCCGACTGGTTTGTATGCCGGGTTTCATGGTGTCGCCGACTAGAGAGGTCGAATTCCGGTGGGGGCAAATGTTTTTGTGATGAATACGAGCATTTGTACTCCAGTCATAGATGTAAAATATTTTTTTCTATATAAATGTACTTGTATATGTACAGTATATGTATTCCATCCGTTATCCTAGCATCCCTCAACACAAGCCTTACAGTGCTTACTTTGGGGCTAGGCTGATTGGTGTGAGTGTTGGAAATATTTATATGTATGTATTTTATTATTATCAATTTATTTGTATGACATAACAATTCTCAATGATTATTTTAATAATAAAATACATTGTCAATTAACATCCTTTGTCAAATCATTAGTGAATGACAGTAATTATAGAACGTTTATTAGTTCTTCCAAATTAAGAACTAATTTTAAGAAACTTGCATTGCACGGCATGCAAATGTCAGAACGGCCATCAAAGAGTCAACTTTATCAAACTGAATTTATCGATAAAGCCCGCAGCACTTTGCAAGTTGCCATCTATTGTGATTGCGAACCATGGACTAGGACCATTCTGATGACGTCATATTTTTAGGAGGCGCGAAATTCAAAACACATATATTATCTTCTTGTCTATTGTCTATTAACTAATGGTGTCGATTCTGGCATGATTCTCTAAACCTAAACTTACAATAAATTTGCGATATTTATTTAAGCAATAAAAATTGTGTATCCTTGTTATTCTCTATACAGAATGAAAATATGAGAGACTAATATTAAATTAAGTTTCATGCCACAATCGACACCATTAACTATTTATTATAAATTGTGTTTGTTTGTTACATGACACGACATGCAAATGAGAGGACGGATTTTAATGAAATTTGATCAGAAGGGATCATATAGGGTGTATTCCAAAATATACACCAGTACGCTGGCCAGCGGTAATGACGTCATGGTTTCGACGCCATATTGCACTGGTCTGCCGCCATATTATGCTGGTGAGGATACTGTCTCGTAATTATTTATTAGCCGGGTGTATACGCTCTGCAGTTAGTGAAGTTCTTTTTTGTATTAAATTGATAATAATGGAATCTTAACAAACAGAAAGCATGAACGTTGCACACAAACACGAGACTGCTTGAATATAGCGCCAGTTCATGACGTCACCGCGCTGATCAGTGTATTTGGAACGAATCAACAGCATGGCGTAGATTCATGACTTCATTACCGTTGGCCAGCGTACCGGTGTATATTTAGGAATATATCCATACTAATGACCCCCTTTCCCCACAATGGCCCTCTTGCATTTAAACAAAATTATAAAGAAATTTATAAATACTGGACACGATATCATTTTATAATTATTTGATGGCAATTCTTCAATTTGCAGTAGTTTATTGAAATGGAACCATACCATTGTAATGCAATATTTAGCAAATTCTCAAAATGCATACTTTCTGAACAGAATCATCCGTGATCAAATTCAACGGTCATACAGCTTTATAACACACCTATATTATTAATATCTATTCTCTACGAATGGCATATAAAAATTAATAAATAACTTACTTAGTCCAGCGGAATGGTCCATGTGCGGAATTGCCACAATGCGGAATGGGCCCAATGCTACCCACCCAGCTGCCTAGTTAGTTGCCTAGCTAGCTGTCTAGCTAGTTGCCTCGCTAGGTTGTGACGGTAAATTTTCGCCACTGATGATTCCCAGAAGCAGAATTCCGCTAAAGGGGCCAATCGTTATAAAGTCTACCCTATGTACTGTACCTCTTACTTGCCCCGGCAATAAAATGTATAATTCCTGTTATTACTCTGTGATGTATATTTTATTAATTTTATTATGGCAACTCCATTAGTTTGCGTGCGATTTGCGTCCTCGGGATAGGCAATTTATTTTGATAATATTTTATAAAATTACATTAATTTGAACTAATTATATTACTTTGAGGGTAACAGTGATTTACACAGTGAACTATAAAAATATTTCTAAAGGATTGATAACGATAAGTTGCTCACAATGACCCCTGAGTTCACGGTTGCATTTGCTTGCGCATCGTGATATTACCCAATTTGGAAGAGAAATTCCAAAAATTTGTAATCGTTTGTTTTGTTTATTAAATTCTGGTCATATTTACATGCATCGGTCCATCGGATGTAGATTCAACATCGGCACTAAACAGTGCTGTATGGTTATTTACGATGGTAATTTTCAAGTCATTGAACCTGTGTGCAGCGTGGTGACACTGTGCTGATGCTGTGAGTCGTAAATATGTAAATAAACATGGACGATATAAGCGTGAAAATAGAGGAATCTCTGAAGGACCAGCCCGTCGCAGTGGATTCTCCGTCTGTCTTATCTGGCGGTGAAAATGATGTCGATCCATTGGCGATAGAGGAAAACGGACCGGGCCAGCTCAAGGGACAGCTGGCTGAGTATGTAACCCTTGAGAAAGTAAACGCGGGAAACTGTGATGATAATGCCAAAGATGAGAAATTAATTGAGGATGCTACAGAGGTAAAGGATGAATTAATGGCTTTGCAGGCAGAAAGAATCAAAGGTAATTTTTTAATCTACCCTCAGTACAACATATAAGACCTCTTATTTTCAGTTTTGCTTGAGGTTTCTTTAAATAAGTAATTAAACACCCATTTAGTTCATTTAAAATGCTATGTGAGTAGTAGTATGTTTATTAATATTTGTTGTAATTCTAGAAGAGTTGTTAAAAGAAGATAGCAATTCCTTGGGTGGCACAGAAGAGGTAATCATTGAGAAAGTGAAAGCACAGAATGAGCCAAGCAACCAATCAGCGAAGAATGATCTAGTTCTAAAGGAAACTGAGGAGAAGTTGACTATTGTTGAACCTGTGGGAGAAACTGAAGTCACTATTAAGGTAATATTGCACAAACTTTATACATCAGACAATATAAATAACCTTGATCAACTTGAGTTTGGTAAAATCAGAGTACTTTGTAAATTGTATAGGTAATGTCCAATTATGAAGGTCCAGTGGGTGAAAGACTTGAATTAGTACCATTTTTTTCTTATTGTTAAGAATTGTCTTACTATATTGAAATTCAAACTTATATTTATATTTTCTTTGGATTCAAATTTAAGTTAAAGTACTGAAGAACATAAAGGAGATGTTCTGATGTTTGTATAGAGGCTGGTATTCAGCATGTAAGCAGCATGCAGTAGGCAAAAGTGAAATGAAATGGGAGAGTATATTTTTTAGGATATCATGGAAAAAATATAATTTAAAATCTCTGCATGTTAACAAAAAGCAGCAATTTATTCTGGTTAAAAATCATTACCCAACTGTAAAACTAAAATAAGTAGCATGCCAATGTTACACATTGGGCTTGATTCTCCAAGTGCAAAACCAAACCTGACAACAAAATGATATATGAACACACAAGTTGGTTTTTGATTTTATTTCTGACTAATAGTAGGGTCTTCTTCACATTATTCAGAAAAAAAATGATTTAAAGATGAGATATTTTGCATGCATTTTTTACTCAATAATGCAGTGGTTTAAAAAAAAATGCATTATATGTAAGGTCCTCTGAGCAAAAGCTTTTGTTTAACATATAATTCTATGTTGGGAGTTTTCAAATACCAAAATAGAATGTCTCCTTTAGTCAGTAAAGTGGAATCTAGTTACAGCGAGCTTTTATACTGTTTGTTTTTAAAAAAAATAGTCATCTTGCAAACTAATAGTTTTACTTTTACACACATTACTTTTTAATAATTGTTCACTTCAGCACTTTATTTTAAAAAGTCATTGTTTATCATAAATTTCTTGCCAAGAATTGTATAGTAACATTCTCCCTGTCACAGCAACCTACTCCTGTTCAAACTCCACAACCACAGGTACCCAGCCCTCCTAAAGACGAGCCTGCAGCAACATTATCAGACAGTTCAAAACCCCAAATGAAAGCTCAGCCTGATGTAGAGATGACAGATGAGGTTGAGGAAAAAGTTGAGACTAAGGCAGAGCCAAAACCAAGCAATAGCAAAGCACAGTCATTGAATGGAGACGTAGGGAAGAATCACAAGGTATTATTGTAATGTATAATATCCTAATAATCTAACCTGAAGAAATTTATAATCATCTATTTTATATATAAAAGGAAATAAGCAACTTTTTATAATACTACAAGTTTTGTTAAGTGTTCATGTTGGTTATGGTGTATGTATGTGTAATACTGAGATAAGACCTTATAAAATAATGGTTAAAAATAATTTAATAAAAAAGGAGTCACAAAAGTGATGGTGGTTAACTTCCAAATTCTTACTTGACCTTGCTAAACATTGCATTATCAATAAAAAAGGTATAATACCTATTTTACTTTTGTTGTATAATAAACAATTTATATTCAAAATTGCTATGCTAAATGTTGCTGCAGCTGTATACACTGAGTTGTACATGCATGTACAATCTGGAGCTATAGTATGATTGAGATCATAGAGTTTAGTAATATAGCTAATAAATAAATACTACCTTTTTTTAAGTAGTAATCAATAGACTTTTTGTAATAGATTAGATAAAAATAGGTGGGTATAGAAAAAAGTTCTATTACATGTACACTTTTCTGCTGGATCTTACACATAAAAGATGCTAAAGGCCCTTATAATTCTAATATTTTAAAGCTTGCAATCTATAGGGTATTTGACAAGTTTAAGAAAACAATATCACTTTAAATCTAAAGAAAAGTTTACTAGAAAAAACATCTAGCAGTAAAATGCTTAAAAAAATAAATAATATCACTTTATTTACTAATGTTTGTAAAGTCCATAAAAATTCTGGATATTCATGATTCTGTTGTGTATTTTACTGTCATTAAAACGTTAAATGATACAATGTAATCTCTCTTTGACCGAAAGTTGCCTAGCATGTGACGTCATTTTAGTCTTGGCCTATCCCAGGGGATTTCGATAAAGTGATTATAGAATAAAAAATTATTTCTATTAAATGATTTTTTTAGAAAAGTTATTTATCATTTGTTTTGTCTAAATAGTAATATTGCTGCAAAAGATCATATTAAATGCAAATGCCAACAACTGGAACTTTATTTATCATACTGTCAAATAGCCTCTTGTGAATAACATTTTTCATTAAATTTGTTAATAACATACTTTTTAACTTTTAGGATGAGAAATCATCAAAGAGACGTGCCAGTGAGGAAGTTGAAACCGAATCACCACTCAAAAGACTTTGTCAAGAAGTAGAAAAGACTTTTCCACAACATGACACAATGATAAATGACTACATACAGACGGCTACTAAGAACAACATTGATGAAATACAGAGGCACACAGAACAGCTATTGTCTGAAATACAAACTCTACGAGAGCTAGCACAGAAGAAGGAACAGGAGTGGAATAATATATTACATTTAAAAAAGGTGAAGGAGGAAATTTTGTTGAGGCTATTGAGGCGAAAACAAGTGCTGTCATTTGAGAAGGCAGCCGAAGTGAATGGTTCAGATAGAACTGATCCATTTGATTATTTAAACCAAGCCAAGAATTTGGCTATAGATAAAAGCGACGAGATATCAGGTTTGGCTATTAAGCAGCCGCCTTCAACAATGAACCCGATGATGCCAACACCAGTGATGCCTATCACGAGCCATATGAACCCGATGTCCGGTCTGCCACCACCCTACGACAAAGCTGCTCATATGCAATCTATGTCGAAACCAGTATTCCCCCAGCAACTGATGATGCCTGGGCCGATGCCTGGTTTCCCCAGAGATATGAATGGGCAATTGTCAGCAGGGTTCAACATGCCCATGGGTCGACAAGGGCCTACTAAAGATGTTAAGTCGATTATCGCTGATTACAGACAGAGGAATCCTGAAGTGACCCCCCGACGGGGTAGACGTATGAAGTCGCTATTAAATCCGAATATGGCTTATCGGCCTATCGCACCGAAAATGGACAGCATTAATAGTTTGAACAATCTTAATATACTCTACAACAATTTAGACATGGTGAGTTTATGTTTTTAAAAGAAAACTTAGCAAATTTATATCACCCCATCTGATGTTAAGTGTGTGTAGAATCCAGTGGTGAACATAGTTAATATGTGGTTGGTAATCTGATCACTGTATATTAAATAATTTTGTAGATGAGCAATAATGAATATTACTTATGTGGGGAATACTTCATATTGCTTACATCTAGAATTTTTATTTTATAATTAGTTTTGGAAGCAGGATTGCATTATGATGTATGGAACCCTTTGTCTGGCATCTGAGTCTGATTCGTGCTCTGTACTTTTTGGGGTTTGTCATTGTCAAAGGGTAAAAACAGGACCTTATTTTTAACACTCCACTGTTCGTTTGTCAGTCTGTTTGTCACCAGACTGTATCTCATGAGCCGTGACAGCTGAAATTTTTACAGATGTCTGTTGCCGCTATAAGAACAGATACAAAAAAACTGAACAAAATAAATATTTAGGGGGATCCCATACAGCAAACGTCTTTCTTTCTTTCAAACGTGTTGTTTTTTGCCGTTCTTTGCTCTATATTAATAACAGCAACAGGTAACGCTTGAAATATTAACGGAATATTTAGTTGTATATTAATTTTAAAATAATATATATGTTTATTACTCATACCACAAAAGTGACATTTTATAGTTTTTTGTTTGATATTTTAATAAAATGTCTAATTTTGTGGTAAGGAACCCTTCGTGCGCTAGTCCGACTCGCACTTGGCTGGTGTGTTTTTATATTAAGCCTGGGACTCGATTCTTATTATATATGTGCCTTATTTGACGAGTGACCGAGTGGTTTGTACGTCGGGTTTCATGGTGTCTCCGACTCGAGAGGTCCCTCCCGGTTTCGAATCGGGATTCGCCACCCACCGGGGTGGGGGCAGATGTTTGTGTGATGAATACGAGTATTTGTACTCCAGTCATGTATGTTTAATATGTATTTCTATAAAAATATACTTATATATGTATAGTATATGTATTCTATCAGTTAACCTAGTACGACACATAACACAAGCCTAATAGTGCTTACTTTGCTCTCTCTCGGCTCTTGGAAATATATATTTATAATTTCTCTATTTATCTTCCATCTTGCAGACATTGGCAAATATGTGTACTCTGTTCTTCAGACGAATAAATGCTCCTTGATTCTTCAATTGGAGGACTCCAGGACTTTTGTGTCTGATTTGTAACCAATTTGGATCTATTGATATGTGGCCACCCAGCAGTGGGACGTAAATGGGTCGATGGTGACGCCAGTCGCCTTAACCCGAGGTCGCCGGTCCAAAGTCGAATATAAAATTGAACAAGTCCAGCTTAATGGAAAAGTAACGCTATAATTAATAATAATAATATTTCCAACACTCACACCAATTAGCCTAGCCCCAAAGTTAGCACTGTAAGGCTTGTGTTATGGGATACTAGGGTAACGGATAGAATACATATACTGTACATGTATAAGTATATTTATATTGAATTACATATTAAACATCCATGACTGGAGTACAAATGCTCATATTCATCACATAAACATCTGCCCCCACCATGAAACCCGGCGTACAAACCACGCGGCCACGGAGGTCGTCAATTTACGGGATAGAGCTGTCTCCCGATAGAGGGCGATTTGAATCACAAAATATTTTTATTTTTTAAACGTGTAACTGCTTGATGTTTAAATCTAAAGAAAATATTACTAAAAAAAATCCTACTAATATACAATACATGTATAAAACATTAATATTGTCATATTCCTTCTCTATGCATTCTGTTCGTTTGTGGAACTCACTACCTAAAACAATCCGAAAGGCTCGCATTCTAAGCTCGTTTAGTGATCAAGTTAGAGGTTATTTCCTTTCCCAACTTTAAGTATACCTCTCTCTTTGGATATATCTATTGCATCTATTATTCATTATTTATTTTACCCCCCCTTCTTGTTCCTCTTATTTATTTATTTCACTGTCTTGTGTTGCCTGGAAGAGATTGCTGTTTAGCAATAAGGCTGCCTATTGTGTACATTTTCACTGTCATGTTTAATGTCTTGTATGTCCTGCGATATGTATGTCAATAAAGAATATTATTATTATAAAAAAAAATAAAGGTTAAAACAAAAATTGTTTTAAAGCAATATGGATAGCTCGAAATGAAATTAAAAAAGTACTCGGTTGCCAGACCTACCACAATAGACTAGCTGTAAGGGCATTGTTTTTAACACGTTACAGTATACAATACTCGCATCAAACTTGTTGGATAAACAAAATATGTGAAGTAAATAAGGTTTTTTTATACTTGTAAAATATTTGTTGTCTATGCAGTGTAAACGAATGAATGTTTTAAACAGCCACCACAAGTATTCTAGAAGTTTTGTTTGAAACTAGTATATGACTTGTTTGTTTGTGGAAACGAGGGGTTAGTGCACTTCTACATCATAATAGCTATATGCGTGTCAAATTTCAGTGCAGTACGTTCAGTGGTTTTAGCTATGCGTTGATAGATCAGTCAGAAACGATTGCCTTTTATATATGTACTAGTGGCCCGTCCTCGCTTCGCTTCGGTATTTTATCCCCTTGGGGGTAAAATTGATCAAAATCCTTTCTTAGCGGATGCCTATGTCATAACATCTACCTGTATGCCAAATTTCAGCCCGATCCGTCCAGTGGTTTCGGCTGTGCGTTGATAGATCACTATGTCAGTCAATCACCTTTGAGTTTTATATATATAGATTTAAGAAGATTGTTCTCTCTCTATGTCACTCGTGTACAACGATTTTACTGGGTTTTCCAGTATAGCATAGCTATAGTTTGGCATTAAAAGGTAGATTAATAAGGTTAAATAGAGGTTTCATAGAAACATTACAAGAACATTTGGCTAAAGTTGAGTTGTTCCGAACTTTAGTTCTTAATTTATTTTTTATAATTAACATCCATATTTAATATTATGTTATACAGAAGATACCGAGAATAACTACATTTAAAACCTCTGAGCGTTTTGCTGAGAAGGGAATCTAACTAACATTTCGTTCAACCACAATTCGACCTCGACCTCCGTGGTCGATTGGGTTGTCGCCTACTCGAGAGGTCGCGGGCTCGAATCCCGGTGGGGGCAGATGTGTGTGTGATGAATTTGTCCTCCAGTCATGGATGTTAAATATGTATTTCTATATAAATATACTTATATATGTATCACTATATGTATTCTATCCGTTACCCTAGTATTCTATAACACAAGTTTACAATGCTAACTTTGGGGCTAGGCTGATTGGTGTGAGTGTTAATAATATTTTTATATAATTGCAGAACCAAAAAGCTATGTTGGAGCGTCTTCAACAAATGCACGGTCTGCCCAACGGGCCGTCCTTCAAGGATGTGCTCGTACAGTTCGCGAGCATGCAGCAGGGCTCGGGGCTCATGCCGCGCCCGCCCGAGACCGCCATGCGGCCGGACCGACCCGACCGAGACCGACCAGACAGACCCGACCGACCCGACCGCGACCGCGACAGACCCGACAGACCCCGCCATCGGCACGAAGACCTCGCTCCCAAGCCGGCGGAGAGACTTGCATCGCCCAGTCCTCGGTTGCCACCGCCGCCTCCGTATCCTGAAATATCGCTGCTACCCGTCACCACAAGCCAAGAAGCGTCGCCACAGAACTCCTTGCTCCATGGGATACTCACTAAGGTGGGAACTTTATTCACTTGTTTTACACTTCAGTAAATAAAACACTCACTTTAAAACGCATACATGTTATTTTTTACAAGATACTTGATTATTTATCAGACTTGTATCATGTAAAAATCAATATACTCTTATAATTTTTAGTATGTTTTTAATGATATACCATACTTTCGTTAAGTTTGATCCCATACACTGAGTGCTGTGCAAAGTAAGAACTCTATAAACTTAGTAAGGACATGTCAAATATCATACAGGAATCGGTTCAATTTACTTCTTTGCAATTATTGAAAAATCATTTGAGCGTGATAATTGTGCTTTTGATTGTGATATTATCATAGATCATTTCCCTGTACAAACACTTCACATATGTTTGTGGATCGACCTTGATATAACTATGCTGCATGACCTGAACGCATTTGTAAAGATAATTTGAATTCATATAAACGAAGTCTTAATTCATCACAAAAAGTTTAATGAAATGCAGAAAAAATGCAAAGTACAAAAAATAGGGCTGAACATTTTACGATCATCGTTATGGTAGATCGTGTCATTGTATTATATTGCTTGACTATTTTATAGCTCATGAAGTTGGGAGTAGAGCCTTTGCCAAGTACATTCATGATTTGACATGTATATACATGTACATTATGGACATTTAATGTACACATATACATTCATGGTTAAGGATAAATAAAAGTTTTCGTAAACCCCGACTAATCGAATAATATAGCAATTGATAAAGCAGCAACCTGCAAAATGAAATTAACTATTATGTATAAAATATAATAAATAAACTATTAAAAAAAATGCCCAAAAAGAAAAGTAAATAAAAAAATGGTATGCCTTTTTATTTAATAGTAACAAAATATTAATCATCTGGAAATAAAACGTTGCATTTTCTCCCTGCATGATAATGTTACAGAAAAAAATATATATTGATTCTTATACTTTGCTTTGGTGTGGTTGGGCCATCTTAATTTATTTGGTTCATTTATTATTGGCTTCAATATTGATTCCTGATTTGACAATATTCATATTTGTGTACATCAATAAATTGCTACTGTTAAGCTTGGCGCTGCCCGTCCTACGTGAGCGACCCGGATGCTATATATTTGACATATCCTACCTGACTATACCAGGGGCTTTATTTATGAAAAGGAACACGTGATTTTTTTTAAATTTTTATACCATTTAACTAAAATTTTTAACCTTTTAAATTATATTCACAACAAGGGATAGTTTATTTTAAATAATTGGTGGTTTTTCTTATTTACTATGTATTCATTGCAATTTTTTAAGTTTTAGCACAAATATTATTAAAATAATAAAAAATTAACTATTCAACTTATCTTGAGTTAGCTTTTTTAAAAGCAACATTTTCGGTGTTCAGTTATTTAAAATAGTATTGCGTTATCCGTACTGGATAAAAAAAATAAAAATATTTTGAAATGGAAAAATATTCGAGGTTTTGGTATTAACAGAAACCACAAACTTTTTTATCGTTTTAAAATTCACAATGTAAAAAAGTGAGTTGCACCAACTTACTTTAATTGTTCAGTTAAAGTACTGGCTAGCTAAAAACAATTTGACGATAGTCAAAATTAGGTCATTATTTGACAGTGACATTAAACTGTCCAAGCGAGACCGGTTAGAGTTATAATAAAATTTAACTTCAAGTTTAACTGGCTCTGTGGGGCAACTTAGTGTAAGTTAAACTACAAATTTCTTGACAACTGTCAATGAGGCGTTTTCATTCCTTCATTAGCCATTGCATTCTGCGATTAAGGCATTTTACAATATCAAAGTAGTATCTATAGTTTGCTATGTGCACGCGTCGCCCACGTATTAAAGCTTGTATCCCGCTTGAGGTCGCTACTAGGACGCAGCGTTGCCAACCTTCAACCAGCTTGAATGGGTGTTGCCAACATTCCAGCAGGCGCCCCCTGCCTCTCAGAGTTACTCACCGACGTTGGCTAAACTGCTCACGTCGCCGGAACGGAAACAGAGCACGCCAGCGTTGCCAACTTTCGGTCAGGCCAAGGTACCACCTCAATGTACAACCACCCCATTGGTGTGCTGATTGGCCTCGATCATTCCAAATTCAAAATTTAGTCTAAGATTTCTATTTTGTTTTTTAAAAAGTTCGAGCTTCGCGTAGCTGCTTATTTCGCTATGCTTTTGTTTGAGAAACGGCAAAAAGCTACGAATAATCATTTCTATTCTCCCTTTCTAGTGAACAAATCAAGTTTGAACTTTTTACATAACAAATTGTATTGACATATTTTTTAATCCTATGCAAATTTATTAACACAAAGATGGCAATGCTCATTATAAGGGCCTGCGCTGCGTTAAGCGGGAGCACGGAGTGACGTCCGCTCCGTGCTCCCGCTTAACGTACTATATCACTTTAATGTTGGTTATTGAAAGATAATTGCAAGCAACTTTAACCATTAAATAAATATAGTCAATAAATATATTTCTTTAAGTATCTTACTTCCCTACAAATTTGATATTGTGGATGGAGTTTGCAAGTATCTTTAAAATTGACAAATCGAAAGGTAACATGATAGAAGTTGAATTAAGATCGGTGCTGTATTATTCATTTGTAAATCACAATTATTTCTTAATGGATTGAGGAATGAAAGGGTTAGAACTTGCATATGAAAATAAAGCATATCCCACGCAATTAGTAGAAGTTTTAGCTAAGGAGAACAGAGGCTATATAGGTAGACAACCTAGTATATTTACATATACACACTGATTGAGTCTTATTTTTTCTTGTACATTTCGTAGCAGCATTTCTAACTATAAACATAGAGAAAGTATCCAGATAATTTTATAAAAACTTATCAAAACTCATGCCTTCGCTATTGGCTAAGAATTGTACAATGTACGTTTAATAAATTCTTTTTTAACATAGCATGAATAGTGTAACGTTCGAATTTTTTACAAGAAATTTAGCCCTTTCACATATAAATATAAGATTCATTTCGGAAAACCCACTTGTCAAATGAACGTCAGCTGAGGAAATGTCCATAGTGAAGAAGATTCTTTATTTTATTCTATTACGCGGTAGATAGCATTTGTTTACCCTATCATAGTTATAAATAAAGTTGGTTTTTATGTGACACAGGCGGGTGTTACACCATATTAAGCAAAGATTACTGCTTACATAGCTACAAACGTCTTGCCCACTTGCCATTAGAATGAAGATTGCGCATTAGACGTTTTTGTACGTAAAATTGGTATTGTGCAGCGTATGCTTGTGATCCAGTACCATTCGAATGATAGTTTGATGTCGGCATATAATTTTTAAACCAAAGTGGTCAGGTATAAACTTGACATAGACACAGGTAGGACCATAGACATAGAGAATAGGCTGAGCGTTTTCTGTCCAAATTGTAAACCAGAACTGTGCAGATTAGTGTGAGAGAGACGAAGCGATCGTGCTGCCTATATATTTGTATAGAGCACTGATGCCAGATTGGGATTCCGCCCTAATTAGGGGTTTTTTTAAAACAATGGGGGGATTAATGGGGGGAGGAAATTTGGGTTTGTGGGAAATGTGGGGGGTTTTAATTACATTTTTTATATAAAAATAAAACCATTTCATAAACTTTTGATCTGTAAAAAGTCGCGATCAACAGTAAATCATTAGTCTCTCCTTCTCACTCTGTATAGAGCACGATAAAGATAGACTGTTGTTAAAGATAGTTGTTGTTGGTAAGATTTGGGGGGGAAGGCGAAATGGCTTTCTGGTAACACTGGTATAGGTATAGCCGGCAACATCGCTCTCTTGCTTTCTTTCTAGATACTTGTCAATTTCATGGGAGTCGCTCAGACCATTATTTGTGTCTATGGATAAGACGCAAGTACCATGAAAAACGTATATGGCAAACTTCTCTCTCAATGGTCAGTGGGGCATATAGTATAGAGCGATTCAAACTTTATGGCGTGTGTAAAGCTAGCAGCGAGCGTAACTATGCGCAAGTTTATGTTGAGTGACAATGCGCGCACGCCTACACCAACCTACCTTTCGTTTGCTGCGGCGCGGCTTGCGCTAACTTCACAGCCGCTATTAAGGCCGTATACAGAAAGAAAGCTGGTAGCCTACCAGCGCTTATAGGAACCGCTCCGAGCAGATAACCGGTGCAGGCATTTCTATGGACCAACGCCAATAAGCGCCGAACGTCGTCGACAAGTTCCGACAATCTTCGACACGCGCTGTCACCGCCCTTTGAAATTAATGAACAACTATCCTTCAATCTGCTTCCTTTACGTAACTGTTACCAGTAAGGAACAGCGCTGCGCTGGTCGGCTTCCAGCTTTCTTTCTGTATACGGCCTTAGTTTGAATAGCAGTATGTAGGTAGATGCGTATAGTGTAGCAGTGTAGTGAGAGTGCCCGTGTCGTACAGAACTGCGGCGAGATCACGATAACGCCGGTGCAGCCGGCGCCGGCGGCCGCGCCCGCTCCCCCCTCCGCGCCCGCCACCGCTACCGCCGTCGCTGTCGCGCCCGCGCCCGCGTCTGTGGCCGAGCCGCAGCCTGAAAAGCCTGAGGAGGTTGTGCAGCTGGTGAGTGGGATAAATCTTTTGATTATTTTATATTTGCATGGTGTTTAATGATAAGTAAAACCCTTCCCTTAGCTACGCCCATGTGCATTGTATAGGAAGATGAAGACAGCTGCGGTTCGGAAGGGTCGTAGCGCGCTTGGCCCGATGAGTTAGGCGGGTTGGGAGCGTCTGGGTCCAACTTGGGCGTGTCGGGGTCGAGGCGGCTATAGATACATTTTGTATAGATGCAGAAAGGCCCCAGTGTAGATCCCTGTAGAACACCAGATGTTATCGGTACAGAGTCTGATTCGTAGCCTCGTATTCGTAACCAACCTTTTGTGTGCGATTCGTAATGTACGACTTGAACCAACGCCACAAATCGCCGATAATTACATTGTAGGCTAATTTATCGAGCAAAATTTTTATGATCCACCCTGTCAAAAGCCTTGGAAATCGGTGTATACACTGTTGATTTGTTTATTATTATCTAAACCATCCAACCCGGGTCCAACTCGGGCGGGTCGGGACGGCTAGTTATCGATGAGGGTGGCGCGGAGCCTTACTGGTCAAGTTCTGGCACGCGTGTTCCTGAACGCTTGTGTTTTCTATATGATGACCAAGACAGCCGCGGGTTCGGGGTCAGGGTCGGGGCGCCTTATGATTGACTGCTTACTATTGTGTTTTCAATATAATGATGAGGAAAGCCGCGGGTTGTAGGGTTCAGAATGTGGTCCGGCCGTTCGGATGGGTCGGGGTCGTCTGGGTCCAACTCGGGGGGTCAAGTTCAGGGTCGGGACGTCGGGTGATGGACTGCTAGCCTAAAGATTTTGACAAGCCTGTGCTAAAAATGTCGTGATTTCTATAGGATGATGAAGAGAGCCGCAGGTCGGAGAGTTCGGAACGCGCGTCGTCGGTCTGGGGCGTCTGGGTCAAACACGGGCGGGTTGGGGAGTCTAGTGGCCGAATGCTTGCCTACCAAGTTCTGACGAGCGTGTTCTTGAACTATTGTGTTTTCTGTAGGATGATGTAGAGAGCCACTGGTCGTCGGATTCGAAACGTGTTAGGGCGGGTCGGGGGCGTCTGGGTCAAACTCAGGCGGGTCGGGGCGGCTAGTTAACGACGAGGGGGGCACGGAGCCTTTCGCGTCGGGTTCGGACACGCCTTTTCTTGAACTATTGCATTTTCTATAGGATGATGAAGAGAGCCGCGAGTCGGAACGCGCGTTGCCCGGAGAGTCGGGCGCGACGGGGGCGTCCGGGTCCAACTCAGGCGAGTCGGGGTCGGGCCGGCTAGTTATCGACGAGGATGGCGCGGAGCCGAACGCGCCGCTATGGCAGGGCTGCTGAGATCTGACAAGCGTATTCTTGAACTATTGTCTTCCTATAGGATGATGAAGGGAGGTCGGAGGATTCGGAACGTGTTAGGGCGGGTCGGGGTCGGGCCAGCTAGTTATCGACGAGGATGGACGCGTCGCTATGGCAGGGCTGCTGAGATCTGACAAGCGTGTTCTTGAACTATTGTGTTTTCTATAGGATGATGAAGAGAGGTCGGAGGATTTGGAACGTGTTAGGGCGGGTCGGGGGCGTCTAGGTCCAACTCGGGCGGGTCAAGACGGCAAGTTATCGACGAGGGTGGCGTCGAGCCTTGCGCGTCTGGTTCGGACACGCGTTTTCTTGAACTATTGTGTTCTATAATAGGATGATGAAGAGAGTCGCGGGTCGGAGGGGTCGAAACGCGCGTCGCCCGGAGGGTCGGGGGCGTCCGGGTCCAACACAGGCGAGTCGGGATCGAGCCGGCTAGTTATCGAAGAGGGTGGCACGGAGCCTTCCGTGTCGGGTTCTAACACGCGTTTTTTTGAACTGTCGTGTTTTCTATAGGACGATGAAGAGAGCCGCGGGTCGGAAGGGTCGGAGCGCGCGTCGCCCGGCGGGTCGGGGGCGTCCGGGTCCAACTCGGGCGGGTCGGGGTCAGGGTCGGGGCGGCTGGTCATCGACGAGGGCAGCGCGGAGCCGGACGCGCCGCTGTGCCAGGGCTGCCGCCGCCGCGACGCGCAGTTCGTGTGCGCCGGCTGCGCCAACCAGTGGTACTGCAGTCGTGACTGCCAGGTACGTGCAACTATTATTACTAACTATAATTGCTATTTCTTCTTTCAAATGTTTAATACTTGTAAAAGTATTCATTTGACATGTGGGTTAGTTACAATGCGAAGAGATGGCGCTGCCTTGCAGCTTAAGAATGGCTAGAAGAATTTCGACGCGGCCATGAGAGCCGCGGTAGCATAATTGGTCAGTGCATTCGCGCGAAGGGTGCTGGTTCGAGACCCGTCTGCTGCCTGGATCGCGTGGATTGTTTGCTACTAAAATTTTCTGTAGATTTAAACATGTAGCATAATAAAAAACGAGCGAGCCTTACAGTAGTCGCGTATGATGTGTAACATTTGAAACCTCACCTTATATTAGTAAAAGAAGAAATAAAACCTACTACAAAAGGCATAAGCCATTTGAACATTATTTTCTAAAATCAAATCAAAGCTCGCGCTTTCGCGACTTCCTGTTACACACTTCCGTCCCACTTCACGTAATCACTCCCACAAATTGCAGGAAAGCGAGAGGAAAGAGGTTACACATCAAAAATCAATTACATTTTAAGATGTTACACATCAAAAATATAATTGATATCTCTTTCCTCTCGCTTTCCTGCAATTTGTGGGAGTGATTTCGTGAAATGGAACGGAAGTGTGTAACAGGAAGCCGCGAAAGCGCGCGCTTTGATTTGATTTTAGAACATTATGTTCAAATGGCTTATTCTTTTGTTATAGGTTTTATTTCTTCTTTTACTAATATAAGATGAGGTTTCAAATGTTACACATCATACGCGACTACTGTAAGGCTCGCTCGTTTCTTTCTTTTATGTTAAAGCTTTCCTCAGTTATAAGAATCAAGCATTTTAATACTGCATTTCTTACAGGTTGCTGCGTGGGACGAGCACTCGGAAATGTGTTCCGGGTAAAGAAGAACGCGTTCCGGGCAACGCATCAAGCATCGCCCGGACGTTCGTTAAGTAGTGTCATTTGCCTTATAATTAGTAGAACGAAATGTAAGCGAATCTCTATTTGCGCTCCCTTGGCGTATTCCGTATCTCCTTTTAAACTACGCTTTTCAAGTGTGATTATTTTTTTAATTCCGAGGACCGGCAAATTGCTTACTAATACGTTTAAATTAAGATTCCTTTTTGAGCAGCTGCTTATTTGTGTACGAAACTGCTTTAACAAAATTGATCGAATTATGTCGACAGTTGGAATATACGCACTGATTCCGTTAAAAGATTTACCAAAGTTATATGTGATAGGTTATTTTATGTAAAAACGCATTAAAACAAATTTCGCTAAAGAAAAATATGTTGTGCGCATCAATTCTACAAAATGTAGTGCTAAATAATCAAATTTTACGCAACGTATGGTTTGCAAGGAAAATTTTCAATTATAATTATTTGTATTGCTTTAAGAAAAGGTTTATTGCCACTGCAAAAAAAATTGACAGACAAAATAATTCGACTCGTGTCAGCGTACAAGTACAAATAAAAACCTCCGATTTCTATATTCATGTGTGGAGGTATAGCTTTGATTAAACGTTTCTTAATTCATGCATTTAAGATTATGTATGGTTGGTTTTGCAAGTGTTTGCTTAACGGTATATGAGGAGCTGGCGAACTAAACGGTATAATTACATAAAATTAAATTGTAAAGGAGCGGTATAAAACAGAATGACATACCTCTAGTGAGCTTTTGGCATGGTTTTTAATTTATTAAGGACATGGTAAAGTTTTGTATGGGCCACTGCCCTGACAATGTATAAATACTGTACTTAGTAATATTTAATGGTACATGGCTGAATATTCATAATTTCTATGAAAAAAGACTCGGGAACTTTTAATAAAGTCACAATGTAGAAAATTATGAGAACTCCTACTATGTCATTACCTTATTATAGTTGATAAAAGATGTTGCCAATTATTTACAGAGTCATTAATTTCGCATTTTCTTAGAATCTTTCTTCCCAATTCTCTGATTAACTCTCCACAAAAAGTTTTTTAAAGCAAAAATAAATACAATAATTTGTTATTGTCGGCCTGACAGGAAATCTGTGAAGTTTTATTTTGTCCATTTGAAAATTTTAAGGATTAATTAGCATACAGCCTAGCTCTACTAGCTCAATCTGTCTGATCAGGCATCAGAATAATAAAATCTATTATTTTAGGCCTTCAGTGATTTATCATAATTAGAATTAGGGCCAAATATGTCATAGTTAAAGGAGTTTAGAAACAATATTGTTTATTTCAATATACTTACAAAAATATTTTTTGTGTACATTTATTTAGTAAAATGGAACATTTTGCTTTTTAAACTAACATGAAGTCAATTTTTATACTTTTAAATATTTGATTATTTATTAACCTCCGGACTCTCCGACTGTAAAAAAAGTAGTTTGACTAGATGCGTAATTATACCGTTTTGTTCGCCTGCTCCTCATATAATCTTAAATCCACAAATTAAGAATTTTGCGGGAACACAGCCCACACAATCAGAAGTAATTTAAATCATATACAAATGCAAAGCAAATGTTTGACCATATACAAAGGTGCATAACATCAAGAATGCATAACTTTATAAACAGAACTTAAATTATAACAATACACAATAATAAAATTTATTTTTAAATGAAAACTAAGGAGATGTTTATTATTATTCCGACATATTGGGTACTTTTCTTACAATGAAAAGATTTAGTTTTTGATGCATGTAATAAGAATAAAATGTCCAAAATTGTCTGTCTCTCATTCTGACCGGTATCATAGAAGAAAAATTGACACCATAAGACATTTTTTTTAGATTTATCTACTGTTTTTAGTATTTTTTTTTAATTAATAATATAGAAAAACATACGATACAACATCTCCGACACCGTTTCTAGACTGTAATATTTATATGAAAAAAAAAGAAATTAAAACTGGTTTATTTCCGCATAATGTTCCTAAATTTTTTGATATATCATGTTTATAAAATCGAAATGTCTTAGCATAATAATATAAATAATGTATGATAATAAAATGGTCTAGGAGAAATTGTGGTTGTGTTGTTTACCAGGGATCATATAACGATATGTATATTTGTGGCTTCGCAGGTGATCGAGACTTAACGCCAAACATTTATTAAGATATACAACCCTTTTTTAAACTGGAGCAATTAATAGGTATCATGCTTTGATTATTTACTACTAGATAGAGCGTGGCAACCATAGAGGTATAAGAATAGAGTAGGGGAGGTATGTACTCTAGAAGTGTCCGCCTAGTAGAAAGAGAAAGAAGATGAGAGACGGCTAGCTATCTCTCTCTTGTGACGCTGCGCAGTCGTGTGATTGGTCGGTATTGCTGCGCAGTCCTGTGATTGGTCGGTACTGCTGCGCAGTCGTGTGATTAGTCGGTATTGCTGCGCAGTCGTGTGATTGGTCGGTATTCATCCGTAGGTTTTTCATCCAATGCGCATTCGCGATTAGAGAAAGAAAGGCTAGCCGTCTCTCATCTTCTTTCTCTTTCTACTAGACGGACACTTCCACTTGTAGTAGAGTACATATCTCCCCTACTCTATTCTCATACCTCTATGGTGGCAACCCAGACGACGTTGTAAAAATATGAGCCCAATGCTGGATTCTAAGTCGTTTCCCGTCACTTAGTGTTCAATGTAATGCTGAGAATGGCTTTTATTTTAGTTAAACTAAATAAAAATAACATGTGTAAAAGGTATAAATTTATACGTTTTACAAATGTTTCAATGTCTTTGATTTTTACCTCCGTGGCCGAGAGGTTTGTACGCCTAGTTTCACGGTGTCGCCGACTCGAGAGGTCCCGGGTTCGAACCCGGTAGGGGCAGATGTTTGTATGATGAATACGAGCATTTGTAATCCAGTCATGGATGTTTAATATGTATTTCTGTATAAATATACTTATATATGTACAGTATATGTATTCTATCCGTTACCCTAGTAAACCCATAACACAAGCCTAACAGTGCTTACTTTGGGGCTGCTAATTGATGTGAGTGTGGGAAATATTTATTTTAATTGTGTCAACAATATACTTATTTTTATTTCATAAGGTTACCCACTTTTTTGGGAAATGTGGCCTAACTTATACACACCGAGCCAAAAATAATGACATTTCGCGAGTATAAGATACAAGATTCGCGTATTTGGTTGTGCGTGTCACGACACAAGTATATATAAAACTGTACCTTTAGCACGAATCAATATTGAATTCGTAACGTTTGCGAGTCCACAATGTCATTAATCATAATAATCAATCATAGTCAAAATCATTTATTCAGTTTAGGCTGTTACAAGCACTCACGAATGTCTAGAAGCTACGCCATCGGTTCGTGAAACTACGGCGGGAGACCTTGTACTGAGAAGAACCGGCAAGAAACTCAGCAAGGGCTGGTTTTTTCTCCCTGTTTTATCATTTACAGAGTCGTCAAATTGAAAAATCACTTCAGAGATGATTCATGCAGTCACCTTTCATTACATAATGATTAAATATATATTAATTTTCTTAGCTACATTTTGATTGCTGTTTCATACAGTATAAATACAAATATTGTTAAATGTGTACTGATTTTTAGTTCTCGTAACGTACTTTGTGCCGTTGCTGTTCAAGTTTCCATACGAAATTTGACGTTGACATTTCGGTTTGCAAACTATTCGAATTCGATAATGGTTCGTGCTAGGGGAACTGGGTTTTTATCGCAGTGTTTACAAGGCGACGCTCTATCTAGAGAGTAAATAATCAAAGGTTTCTTGATTTGAATTAACAAAAAGGATCTACATTATTTTTTCATGACATGAGTAACCAGGACACATAACAGTCAACAATATAAAGTTTTTTTTTGATATATGCGTATTTTCATTTCAGATATATATTTATATATGACATAACAGAGTTAAAAACTACCGCGTATAGCGGGATTAATATGTTTATATCAAGCCCACCAAATTGTTTTAAGGGGAATTTTAACTTATCATAGTTTTTATCGAATATGACTTAATTAAAAAATATTTAAAACTTAACAAACGGGCAATTATGATATCGTGATACGATCTCTGGTAATTACTAAAGTCTCAATATACTTACTTACTATATATATAAGAAAAACAATATTTTTTCTTTCTTAAAAAAAGAATAGATGATTTGACCACCATTGAGTGGAATTGTTTCATCCTTAATTAGGCCATTCCTTAAAATATTTGATGCTATAATTGTGTATAATAATAAAGCTAACATAGCTAAATTGTTAGATTATAACAATTTATTATGTATTTGTGAGCGATTCCGAAATAAGTATGTGAGTTCTGAATTATGCCTGTTCGCGATTATAAAAGAAAGTCCAACGAAGGCTGCGTGCGCGCTAGTTTTTCAACAATACTTCTGTAAAGTCCACTAGTATTTTTTGTAGGCTCGCTTTAAAAGATATCTTACTTTTTTAACATTATTTTGTCGAATCAATAAAGAAAACTGAGAACAAAATTGATTTTGGATGCTAAGGCTGTAATATAGGAATTTACGTAATAGTTCACGCTACCCCACCAAGAATAATTAAAAATGAACATATACCCCATAAGTGATTCGAGCAAACCTAGTTATTTAATTCACGCATCTCACCAATATTATTGTATTCTATAAACTGCTAGAATACTTTACGAATATATTATTTATAAGGATCGATATAACTTTAATTTACTTAATTTTTTACTATCAATAAGTAATTTATCGTGTTAAATAATCATTTTACAATCTCCCAAGCATTTTGTGCCTTTTTTTATTTGTAAGTTGCTGTTATTTAACTGCGGTATAATTCAGAACAGTGTGCCTGAAGAGTGTATTATATAAAATATAGCGTTATTCTTATTGTAAGTTAATTGATAGTATACATAAAACAATATAAAGTGGAGATATAACTTATCAAACAGAATCAAAACTTGAAATCAATTTATTTTGTATAAGGAAACTCGAATGGGCGCTTGAATGCGAATAAACACTGGTTAGTTCATATTATATGTAACAGAGCATAATGCTGGTTCTGCAAATGTCGCGATCAATTTTAATTTATAAGCTAAGTTCAGAGTTGACGTGTTTGAGCTAACTTTTGTTTAACACACACTGATAAGCTGCCTTTACACGACACGCTCTTTCACCCGCCATTACGGTTACCATTTGAGTCGTATAGTATCAAAGGCGGCAAAGTAGGGCGAACCAAATATTTGGCAAATCAAAAAAAAAACTGTTTAGTCTCGTCTTTAAGGGAGGATTTTTATAATTGACATTTCCCTCCTCCCTTAAAAAAAAATCCTCCCTTAAAGACGAGACTAAACAGTTTTTTTTGATTTGCCAAATATTTGGTTCGCCTACTTTGCCGCCTTTGATACTATACGACTCATTTAGGAATTTCAAAAGTCCTGACAAAAATCCTGACATTTAGGAAAAAGTCCGGACTTTTTAGTCACAAAATGGTACCATTACTCACTTAATTGCAATGGTATGGTATGTACTTTTATTATTCATATTGAATGTAATTTAAAAAATCCGGACAAAGTCCGGACTAATCCAGACGGATGGTAACCCTACTCGCGATGAGAGGGGCGAGCACGAATTACTAGCGAGAAAGTATTCGTATCGCCACCGTCAACGCAGCGCTCCTACCGGACGTAAGACATATGTACTAAATTCGGAAGCACGAACGCTGTCGTAGCGAGACGAGGTAACGTTACATTACTTGTAAATATTTCTATGAGGATTGCGAGCATGGCGTTTAGTATCGCCACGTCTATCGTCAACGTACGAAATCGTATCGAGAACTCGCTACTTTTAACTACTGCCTTAGTTTATGCTTGGAGTACAGGAGAGGGCGCGGTTAAAAGCAGGAAAATTCATACGAAAACGCGCTTTCTCGTTCTCCCTTTCTATCTAACTTGCTGACTCTTTCCCACACAAAAGACTTTACGTGTGAAAGAGCGTACTTGTAAAAGCAGCTATTAGAGGGTGTATTCCGTAATATATACCAGTATACTGGACAGTGCTAATGACGTCATGAATCGACGCTATACTGGTGAATTGTTTCGAAATACACTGGCCAGTGCACTGACGTCAAAAATCGACGAAATATTAAAAATAGTGCGAATAAAGAAGATTTTTTTATTCACCTCATCGATTTAAAGGAATTATTTTTGTTGCCATTATTGTTCTTTAAATAAAAAAGAAATAAAATTCGAATGCATCTCACGCACGTTCGGTCATACGTCATTTTCGTTTTCCCGGTAAAAATATGGTAGCATACCAGTACAAAATGGCGTCGGATTCGTGACGTCATTACCACTGGCCGTTATACTGATGTATATTTCGGAATACACCCATAATCACGTGCCCTTATAAAGATAGTGATCCTTTCATTTGACATTATTGCGCGATCTTGGTGGTCGCCTAGGCGATTATAAATAGGATAATTTATTTTTTACGAACATAAAATGTAACTATAGTATTATTATATTTATAAAGCGTTCTATATTTCAACACGCCCGTGCCAAACACAACTTTGTTGTCACACAATATTGTCTGATTTTCTTTTTCTATTGTTATCAATCGTTAATAGAGATGTAGAGGTTGAGAAATGAAGCTTTTTGGAGAAAAAATATTACTTTTTTTTTATTTCAACTTTATTATTACGAACTTGAATATACATCATAATTTGTTTATATAGACAACATCTCATAAGTGATTTCGGAATGATTATGAAACTCTATGCGGCAGATACCAGTAAGTCTCATTTGAATAGTGTTCAATAAGTAAATATTAGAAGTTTATTGTAGTACACATATTAATCTGTTGTGACCAATTTTTATTTGAATACGACTTACGGTATCTCTGTGTACGGTGTTATGATTTTCTTATTATTTATTTTGACGATCAAAATGTGGAAAATATCAAATTGGTCCTTCGAGTCGATCTGGTGCTGCCGCCACGATTGCAACTGGGACCGTTTCAGGAACTGAGCAGCTGTATTCTCTATAACGCTAGTCACGTGTTTTGTTACCTATATATAACTGTTTATGTATTTTGTAACTTATATGATGTTATATAAGAATGTATTAAAGCAGTACTGTCTCTGAAACCTGATGGAAGCGTTTTATTTTATTACTAGTGGCCCGCCCTCGCTTCGGTTCGGTGTAGAGCTGTAGTGTAGACTAAAACGACTCTTCATATAATTAAAAAATAAAACTGAAAATGGTAT